TCACGTAGAATGGAAATAATAAAATAATAAAAATAAAACATAAAAATAATTCTCACGACGTTTCTGAGGACGGCTGCTTGCATTGTGGCCGAAACGTCGTGAGAATTATTTTATTGGTTTCTTTTTATTATTTTATTATTTCCATTCTACGTGACTTTACCGAAAGAACCAAGAAGATGAATCCCTGCAGTCACGAAAGCTTTAACTCGAAATTTGGATGCAGGTTGTTGGGGTGCCACGGTGGCGAGATGTTATCGTTTTCGCCTGATATGCAGGTTTTGAGTCGATCCCGACCCTGACGCCTGTATAAATAAAGTTTGCATGTCTCTCTCCCCCACTGTCATGTGGATTTTTCTACGGGTCCTCAGGCTTTTCCCTCCACATTTAGAATCGACTTGCGTTTATAGTATTTGGCTGCAATAAATTCCCAAATGATAAGCCACTTCGTTGAGTTTACCATTTGTGGCCAGGTTGCTTCTGAAAAAGAGGTCTGTAGCTCAGTGGGCCTTACCTGGTAAAAAAAAATAGTTTTTGCACTGCAGAACCCATGTATCGCTGACATCGCCACACAATGAGTCCGTTGACCCCGCGCCTGGCCCTGCTTGGCCTCGAGCCGGATTTAATTGTCTTTTGTGAGGCCAGAGCTTCACAGTTTGGTTCTGGTTCGGCAAATAGCCAGTGAGTAATACCCAATACCAAGAGGGCACCACGCTGGCAACGGCTCCGATGTGCCAGTGATGAAGGGATATACGTGGCAGGTTCGGTTAGTCTGAAATGTGCCGGTGTCACACAGTTAAAAATGGGTCGTGGCGTTACTTGGGATACTTAATACTTTGTCTTTGTCACTCACGTCAGTGTGGTGATGTGGTGTGCATGTGAACTTGTGTTATTTAGTGATCATTGTTTGGCTCTAATCGGTTACTTAGTCACTGGTGCATGTGTGTAAGTGTTGTTCGGATGTTAGAGATAATATCTAGAACAAAAACTATGTGCCCTACTAAAGAAATAGGGTGTATGTTGAACGTCTTTTGCACTGTACTTAGCCAACCGTGCTAATCGGAGATGCGGGGAAAGGCAATATATATTTTCGGCGAGTCATTGTCAAAAAGCATTACCTTGAATTAGAAATTGTTTGGCTACTGCTCATGATGGGTTGTCTGGCTTGACCACCTAAATGTGACGTTGGTTCTAGATTTGAAGCTTTCGTGACTGCAAGGATTCATATTCTTAGGTTTTTTCGGTAAAGTCACGTAGGTGTGCTGTGACGGTTCCACCTGAAGACGGAAGCTTGTGTTGCCTCCGAAACGTCGTGATTTGTATTTTAGTTTACTTTTATAAATTTTAATTTTTTACCTACGTGACTTTGCCGCAAAAAACCTAAGAATATGTGACGTTGGTGTTGCTCTGCATCTTCAGCCATACGAACGAAGAAGAAGAAGAAAAATCTTAAATCCGTAATCATCATTATAATCACTGCCTTCTTCATCACATTGGAAGACTGACGTTCTGCTTATGCAATTGCCTTTCTTTAGAACTGGTTAAGTTGGATGTAATAACCAAAAAGCAACAAAAAATGTAAAGTCACAAGGTGGTTCAAAAAAAGCAAGTTATGTGAACAAAATTTTTTTTAGGAAAAATATTGAGAGTTTTTTAAAAGTACGCTTTAGCTTTTGAAGCAGTCATGGTCAATGGCTGTGAATATAATAAAATTAAGTCCTTCCAACGGTAACAGAAAATCTGGCTTTGAAATGTAAGTATTCAGTCTGGAGAGTGTGTCGGCTCTCAGCAGAGCTTGATATTCCTGCAGCAGTTTTTAATAGCTGTAGTATTTCATTCGAATGAATAATATATTCAATTTTTTTTTACTATTAATCAAGTCACGAGGTGAAGGAACGTCTTTCTGGAACTCCTGCAGGCACCACAGCGTAATGGAATGCCAGGGAACAGCCTTGAAAGATGACGATAGAATTACAGTATTTAAGAATGTCTCAATACCTGGCCAGGTGGCACAGTGGTTTAGAGCGCATGGCTTATAATCAGAAGGTCACCTGCAGCGGCAATTTATTCAGCATTTTTTAAAATATATATAGTCCTGGTCTAGCCGACGACAGCCTGAGAATGTTAGTTTAGTCTTGGTGGATTTCATTTTGTGATTATTGTTGTCTGGTCGACTAAAGCGATAGAAATGTAGTCCATTCTTTGTTATTAAATGTTTGGTGCATCATTTAACCCCCCCCCCCCAAGCCCACCTTACTAATATTGAGATCAGTCAATCGGTGAATTATTTTATATACACACATTACCATCTTTGGTCTTCCTCTGTGCACTGCATTTTCTAATAACGTTCCTACATGATCTTCGTCTATGTCGTGCGTCATCATTGGGGTTCTCGTTGCCTTTGTCTTGTCAGCGTTGTGCTCTGGTCTCTGCTGGGCAGCAGCCGTAGTCATCGTCACGCTCATTGATTTCCGACCACTCGCGGTCATCGTTTAACGAAAATAAAACCAAAAAACTCGTTGACAAATATTTTTGTCACTGTCATCGTTAACAAATCTAACGCTGGTCACACGTTCAAATGACTGGCTCTTTCATATCATCCCTACTGTGTTCAACCACCACACACCGCAGGTCACAACACCGCGCTTCCTGCTTATTCTCCCACACTGCCCCACTTTGGGATCGAATCCCATTGTCTCTCTTTCCCCAAGCTCTTTTAATAACTTTTCTCAATTGAAGAAACCAGTTTTTTATATCTCTTGCTACTTTGATTGTGCTTGTTTGTAGCTGGCCGCTTGCTGTTTTAATACTCGAATGGTAAACGTTGTGCGTTTTACTCTCCAACACAATTAAAACAAAAACAAGTGGTTGACGAATATTTTTGGTCACTAATATCGTTAACAAATCTAACGCTGGTCGCACGTTCAAATGACACGTTTTGTTTGTGTGGCTGTGTCGTATGGTGGCTGTTTTAATGACACATTCATATGTACGTGATCTAACCAAAAACCTCTATTATGGATAATATTGGTCGCGAAAGCCTACGAGTTAATTTGTTGTTTTGAACCTGTGCTCTGCAACTGTGTTTCGGAATTTAAAAAATCCCTGCCCAGAGGTCAACTCAGCCGATCGTCACCACTCGGTAGTCCATGACATGAAAACCTCTTTGGAATTCAACAGCCATTATCCTAATGATAACTTGTCTCTGTCATGGGAATGCTGTTTTATTCCTGCTCTATGATGGGGGGGGGGGGGGTACAGAGATGAGGTCGATGAAATGGCAATGAATGCTCCCCCATTCGTGAGTGTGCGAGTGGCGCGTGAGTGAGTGAGAAATTATTCGTCGCTAGGCGTTGTTCCTTAGAGTTTGGCAGGGAGTGGGTTTACTGCGTGCCAATCAGCCGAAACGTGTTTACAAATTCGCAGTCCTCAGACCTGTCCTAGGCTCTATTAAGTGACACACAAAGATGTATAGTAATGTTTTTTTATTATTGTACAATCATTTGCATTGGTGCCATAGCCATTGAACTCGCAGCATTTTGGCATAGGATGTATGTAGGTATGTCAAACTTATTTCACACCGTACATAGCCAACAGTGCTAATACAAAAAGCAGTTCTTTAACACAAGTTGGGCTCGCCGTCCTCATTTGAACCCAGCATGTGCTCAGCATTCAAAGTTTCTCGTAATTTTTTTTAACCATTATTAACTCCTTCTACCTGTGGGATTTAGAAAAAGAAAAGTTACGTTTTCAAGTGCTGTAAAATAATTCTGTTCACTCATGTGACTTTATTCTTGACAACGGTGTAAACAATTCAAAAGAAATTGCATTCATGAGAGAGCTACTGCTCAGTCTTGCGAATAATATATGGTAGGCATGGCTGTTGGCTGGTCTGGTGCTGCAGATGAACTTGGGTTGAAATGCTGGGAGCCAAAGCTGAATGCAACCCAAAGGTCATAAAGAGAAAAAAGAATGAACAATAGTCCGTTTCACTGGCAAAGAAACAAAATCACATGTCGGTTCATCTCGCCAAAGGGCCTTCTGGACTAATGTTTATTCCAAAAACATTTATCTTAAGCAGGCAAACCCTGGAGCGGTTTCAACTTTCCTAATCACTTCGGGTCAATGTGTCGTCTTGAAGAAAAACATAAATGTAACCCCTGCGTTGCCTGTTGACACCATGAGTGTTATTGTGGGTAAGAGCCAACGGTCTGCGACCCCGATTCCATCTCCATTTAATGCTGTCCTTTATTCAACCAGGTGACATCTGGTTGATATTGGTTTTCATTGGCAAGCAATGACTGGTTGACTGCAATTGTTAAGCTTATTTATTAGCTTATGGATGAGAAAAAATGGAACTAAAGTTGAACAAGCATGATGGCAAGAAAGGGAAAAGCTCTTAAGAGAGCCGTTTATTTACATTGCTTTCAAATTAAACACACGCTGTACACGTAGCCTGATGGAACGGGCAAAAATGTGTAAGCGGAACAGAATGAAGGAAAAAGGTGGTGGTAAAAACAGCACACGAAGTAATGAATTCCTGAATTGAATTCCGACGTACACTTGTCACAGTTGATCGAGTCATTGGGAGATTGAATTGTTACGTGCCCGTTGGTAACGGTGATGGCAACACGACCATGACAATGACAAAGATTGGCACCTGGCCATGTTTTTACGATTTAACCATCGGCATGCGTGTAATCCCTGATGTAAGTTTATTATCCTTGGCGCTTGCCCAGAGCATCCAGAGATTCCACGCGAGTGTTGTTTTGCGGGGCACTCTTCCGTAAGTGGTGACCACATATAACAATGATGGACTGCCCTGTAGGAAGACGACGACGGTGACGACGCCGACGGTCGTGGTGATGAGGAGCGGCGTGTGTGCCGTGCGCAGCCCGACGGATGAGCGCTGCGTCTTCTGCAACCGCGACGAGCAGAGCTCGCTGGGCCAGGGAGAGCTCAAGCGCTTCAACGCCACCCCGGGGCTGCTGACGCCTGTGCACTACCCGACGCAGAAGGGCGCGGGTGCCATGCACCGGTGGTGCCGCCACCGGTGTCGCTGCCGGGGCCGCCGGCACCGCCACGGCCACCGCCACCGTCACCGCCACGACCACCGCAACGAGCACTGCCGGAGCAAGCGCCGTGGCCCCTGTCTCTGCTGCTGTCTCCTCCGCTGGTGGTGCCACCGACGCCGCCAGCACCGCCACCGCTAGTCTTGCCGTTGCGCCGCCTAGGAGGCCTTCGCAGCCAGCGCCGGCGCCTTCGGCGAGTGTGCCGCTCATCAGCAAACCAAGGGACAGGTGAGGGGACTGCCACTAGATTTGTAGCTAGTTTTGTCGTTGTGTTAAATTATTTTATGATTGCACTTTCAGTGCGGTGTGGCAAGAAGCAAGTCTCAAAGTGAGCAGTGCATCACCTTGCATCCCAGCCACACTGGAGGCACAGCTTTATTGGTTGTTCCGAAAATGGTCTCGTCTGGCACTAAGCAAGTTTTACTTTTTTTTACTCTGAGCAACAAACAAAATTTAACGTCATATTTTTGGTTTGTGCTGTCCGAGACCATCAATTTTCGCTTATTTTGAGGACTTGGTTTATTCGAGAGTAGCTGCTCATATTTGCATTTCCAGCTCGGTGCTTTGACGTGGTGGTAGCGTCTTGAACGGTGGCTTTGCTGGCTTGGAGGGCAAATTTATTGGCCGTGTCAAGAGACACTGAGCCGGCACTGCTGAGAATGCTGGGTGTTTAAGCCCTGGGGACCCTGGCTGTCGAAGGGCGCATCATTGTTGTTTCAAAAGCCAACCACTGACTATGTAAACTAGCTCGGTGGCAAGTGCGCTCACACACCGGCTATTCCCGGCCAAGCGTATAACGTCAATAATAATAAACGTCATAATTACTGGGCAGTTAATGGTCACGTGCTTTACCTATAACAGCAGCGTGCGCTGAAGGTTTTGGGTGTAACTCGATGCCTGCAGTTGGCTCTCGGCTTAGGTTCGATGGGCTGTTTTGGTTGGAGAGAGGCCAAGCATGCCAAGAGTGTTCGTCCGCTGCGTATATGCGTGCGTATACTTATGTGTGGGGGGTGTGTGCGTATGTGGCTGTGCCTGCGTGCTTGTACTTGTGTGTGTGGGGGGGGTATGCGTGTGTACATACTATTGTAGCAGTGCCTTTGCTAATTTTTGTTGGCACAATGCGTGTGGGTGTACGTGTGAATGTGTGTGCGCGGACATACCTGGGGAGCGGTTAGCTTAGTCATGGTTAGCACACAGTGCTACAAACCCGACAACCCAAGTTCCAATTCCTGGCCGCAGCTGACATCAGTGCCATATGTATATGATTTGATCCTGGGCCTCTACCCTAGTACGACTCAGCTTTAAATGAGTAGCTGGTGGGGTGTGCTAACATCAGCACTCGGGATACAAAGGCGGATAGTTGTGACGCTGCCCACCCCACCCCATCAAGCGCCGTGCCAGTCTTGATAGGCGCTCGCCAACAGCACTGGCACCAACAGTCAGTTCAGGCTAAAGGCAGATCGTTGTCTTTGGGCATACGTGTCGGGAGAGCTGTCACAGTGGATAATGTCAGCGCCATTCGCTACGATCCCAAATAATCTGGGTACGATTTCTGGCCATGATGCACATCAGGCTTGGGGCTCCGTGAGGTTGACTTAACCTGAAATAAAAAGCTGGTATGTTGTGTGTGCCCACATCACATCAGCACTAAATTAGACAAAGGTGCGGCTACAAGTGTGTGACTGGCCACACCAACAACGCATGCATCTTGTAGCCGTTATACAGTAACTATTCATCGCTTCATGAGTTAACATATATATTCACACACTCGCAATATAATTGTCAATTCGTACTGTTAATTTAGTTTTGCACACCATGTATATATTGGCTTCACGTAACCTCTGCTGCCACAAGAGGCCACTACATTTATCACAATAGAAGAGAATACACAATTTATACTTAAATTGAATTGCAACCCTACATTTTTCCAGCTCATCAAATCACAAGGATGGAGGAATCATGACACCTCTACTAACCACCTTACTAAGAGCACGAGATTCATAAATGTTATTACGATAATTATACATCTCAAAGACTTCACAGAAAATGAGTTATATTGTGTGTTGGAAGCACACAAGACCATAAAGGATATGTGGTCATCGGTGTGGCTGTCCACTGGACTTCTTTCACATTAAAATTCAGCAATTCTCCTTGGTGCCACTGCAGCGAGCATAGAGACAGTTTTGGGGCTGGCACGTGGGAGAGTACAATCAATAAATGAATCGACGTGCATTTGCGAGTCATACTGCACGCATATGAAGAGCCATGCAACATGGTTACGCAGCCGCTGAAGAAGCTCTGCACTCGCAGCGTTTGCCTGCTCCTCGTTTTAATAAGGCTTCACGTGTATTTTTGTTGCCCCCTTCTGCTGTTGCTGCTGTTTGCTGCTGCTGCTGTTTGCTGCTGCTGCTGTTTGCTGCTGTTTGCTGCTGCTGCTGTTTGCTGCTGTTGCTGCTGCTGTTTGCTGCTGCTGCTCGCTGCTGCTGCTGTTGCTGCTGTTTGCTGCTGCTGCTGTTTGCTGCTGCTGCTGTTTGCTGCTGCTGTAGCCGAACGCCGGCACAGGCGCTCAGTGCCCTTGAGGAGCTGCAGCGCGTGGGACTTCCGGATGATGTCGCCATCCGGGACCTGCTCAAGCCCACGGGTAATGACACATCATCGTACGTTCGCGTGTGACTTGGAGAGGCCACAGCAGAAGAAAATGAATATCTCCTTCATGTTTGTAGATACCTGCCCAGGCTGGGTGTGTGTGTGTGCGATAGTGTAGCTGTTAGCACACTGCCTTACAAATCCGGCATCCCGAGTTTGATTCCCGCTCGCGGTCAAACCCCATGACTATTATCTAATCCGCTCATGGGCCTCACCTCCGTCGACTTACCTGGTGAAGTGTGTAAACATCGCCACTGGGCAGACAAGGACGACCGGGCATGGTGCTGGCCACCCACCCCCTCGTGTGCCATGCCGGACTTCATTGGTGCTCCCTAACAGCCCTTGCCCCAACAGTGTGTTTTGGCTCTATGGGGGACCTTTGTTTGTCTCACTGTCAATTTGATACCAATTTGATATTTCATTTGTGAGAAAAATAATACAATTGAAATGTGAACGAGCGGTGCGTAGGTTTTTTAGCGGTTTGTGCTGGACGGGCCCCTCTGAAGTATTCTCGCGTAGCACGGCGCGGTGTTGGGCACGATGACCGGTATTTCACTCCATGTGCTGCGAGCTTCAGGAAATGAAAAGGAGCTTTTTTTGAACCCCCGTGAAAAACAATCGGTGCACTCTTGAAACTCATGGTTGTGTTACTTAGCTAATTGTTTTTCTTTCCAACACTAAACAGCTCTTACCTTGCAGCTGCATATCTAGGCTCTGTTTCCATGTTCTCTGAATTGAGTTTCAAGCCCTGTTAATGAATAAAGACAGCGTAGGTTACCTATCAGCAAGACCAAAGTTAATATTATTCTGTTTCATATTCTTGTAATAGCCAGCTTCTCTTACATAATTTTTTTTAGAAAATCTAATTGCCTTGAATTAGTTGTCCTTTACTGTTGCACTTGGACAGCATTTGAGTTTGTTTCACAAATTCCCATCAGCAAGCTTTCACCTGTCCATGAATTATCACCGGAGTCAGCATTGTGACCTCTCGTCAGCGAGCCATTACACTGCGGGTGTATCCATTGGCCTCCATTCACCGAGCCGCTCGCCACTTCATCGGTCACGCCTGCGTTTATTCACCGCCGTGACTTCATCAGCGACTTTTCACTTTTACCATCGCTGACAACCGAATCTGTCCATTTGGGGTCCTCCCATTACGAGCGAGCTTACTCCAGTCCACATGGCCTGGCGACGGCTTACGGCATCACCATCGCTTTGTAACGCCTCGCGGTCATGTTGTGGCGTCGCGCCGCGTGCCACATGGCGTCGCGGTTGCATGGCAACGCCTCGTGGTCATGTCATGGCGACGCGCCGCGTGCCACACTTCGTCGCCGTCGCTTGGTAACGACTCGCGGTCGTGTCGTTGCGTCGCGACGCGGGCCACACGGCGTCGCTTAGTAACGGCTCACGAACGTGTTGTGGCGTCGCGACGCGTGTCCTTGCGTAGGCCACTGCTGGGCGCACCACTGCTGCGCCGCCTGGTCGGAGGGCGTGTGCCTCTCCCCCGAGCTCGAGCTCATCAACGTGGACCGCGCCGTGCTGGCCGCCGTGAAGCAGGTGACAGATGCTCAAGACTCAACGCCGGTTCTGTGACCGGCACAACCACGCACCGTCACGTTGACGCCGGCACACCTGACGCCAGTGCCCTTGACACTGGCGGCTGAGCACAGGCACCGCTGAACCGCGTACATTGACCAAATATGCTGACACTGGAGCCCTATCGATGTGCAGTATTGCTGGCAACGTAACCCTTACCTGAAACCCCACACCAAGACATCGCAGACTCCAGACACTGCCGTGTGACACACTTGACAGCGCATGCTGAGACCGGCGTGCACTTTTGTGTGGGACAAAGAGCATCGTCCTCATTCTGCACTTTTAAAACAATCACAGCACCCAAAGCTACGGTGCACTTCACCAGTGAGATCTTATACTCTCTACACCTGACTTGGTTTTCGTTGGCTCGGCTAAAGTAAAAGCCGCAGTGATGTGGCTGTCTTCAGAAAGGAATTGGCCTCACGTGAGTCGTGTTATGTGTTGTGTGTGGGGAGCGGTAGTGTAGCAGTTAGCGCGCTGCGCTATGAACCCGGCGACCCAGCTAACACCAGTGACGATTATTTGATCCTGTTTTGGGCCTCCCCTAGGTCGACTCAGCCTCAAATGAGTACCTGGTGTGGTGTGTAAACATCGCCACTGGGGAGACAAAGGCGGTCAGGCATGGTGCTGGCCACCCACCCCCTCGTGTACTGTTCCGGCCTTCATAGGTGCTCACTAACAGCACTTGCCCCTATAGTCTGTTAAGGCTTTACGGGGCATATTATTTGCGTGTGGAATTGGCCACAAATCCACCATTATGTATTTATAGGTGCTCACAAAACAGCTTCGGATTGGATTGAGGCGTGTGTTTTTTTTCCCGAAAATTATCCAGGTGGCAACAATGGGATGATACCCTATTGCATAATTTGGCTTATTTCAGCTCGGAGAAATAAAATATGTGGTTGATTGCCATGTCACAATCACTCCTATAGCTGCAGGTCACGCGAGTAAGGCATCGCTAGCACTCCTGGTGTGGATAAAAGGCAATTGAAGAAACTTCATAAGTAGTTCTCGCATATCTCCTTCCAGTGGCCATTTTCTAACTTTGTATGACAATACCCTGCATCTCTATGAGAGTTCCAAATTGGAAATATATTCTTTTCATGGCATCGCAAAGCACAGAGAGTACAGTTATAATGCAACTGTCTTTTTAATGCCAGGTTTCTTCTCTCATTGAGTAGTGGTGTGTGCTGGTGAAGGGAATGCACAAATGCTTTGAACCCTAACCCGGTCCCCGAGGCGAGGGTTTAACGATGAGTCGAGTGACACGGGTGTCATTACCAAACACCTGCAATTTTTGCAGCCTTTGCTTTCACCATCTTCAACGGTGCCTGAGTCAGGAGCACATCGTGCGAAAAAAGCTTCCTTCGCAATACCGGAATAGGGGAGAGCTACATGGGAATACATCGTCTTGAGTGGTGTACGATGATGCAACTGGCAAAAATCCGGGACATCATATATATAAATATACACCGTGCAATGCTATAATCTTCATACCTTTTGGGATTCTTGAGGTGAATTATTATTGCCCGAGGCTTATAGAGCAAAGACTAATTACTGAGATTCAAAATATATCAGTAGTGGCATAAGCCGTGGGAAACCATCTCGTGTATTTTTTTAAATGATACCTTTGTACATTTTTTACGTAAAGTTACTGCCTTAACAGGACTTAAGCCAGCAGCCAGCGTTGCCCTAACACCCCCCTCCGCCCCCCCCCCCATCGTCTCGAGTAGCGCTGCCAGCATTGCCGCCGTCTGGGTGCCACCGTCAAGTGCTGGGTGGAGAGCTGCTCGCACATGTACCACTACCCGTGCGCCGCCGTGGCCGGCACCTTCCAGGACATCCGCTCCCTCGCGCTTCTCTGCCCCGACCACGTTCACCAGGCCGTGACCATTGGTGAGCGGTCCGAAAGTGTTGCCCCGCTCAGACGTGCTTCTATGGCGTCCACTTCCACGGTCCTTTCTCTTTAACTCAAAAGGGCAGCCCCGTAGCACAATCGGCTTTAAAATTGGGGAGCTTCGAATGGACAGAGTGAGTCATAATAAAGGTATTTCTTATAAAGGAAACACATGCGATTTAACTGATTAATAATCTACAGTACTATTTTATTACAATGAACTTCTCCGCCTCTGATCTCTGTATCTGATGGGTTCAGGGTGACGTCATCTTGCTCTATTTAACAGGTGGATTGCTTCACTATTTTGGCAAATCGACCGATGATGCTGGACGTAATTACCAGCGAAACGTCGTACTACTCAAACTGTAAATGTTGTGGATTTACTCTCCAGCACACCGGTGGGCTGAAGTAGTAACTAATTGGCGCGTGACAAACCTTACTGGCTGTGTCGGGTGGTGGAGGGTTACGACACATATCCTACGCGATCTAACACAAAAAAACCTTTTCAATAACATTGGTCGCGAAAGCCTAAGTGATTAACGGATAGAGGGAGCTCTGTCTCGTACATGAAGAGCAGTAATCTAATCTCGGTGGAACCTTGTGCGCGCGCGCGTGCGTTGCCGTGTTTGTGCCTGTGTGCAGCGGGCGAGGAGGCAAACTGCGTGGTGTGCGACCAGCCGGGCGAGCTGCACAATCAGCTGTTCTGCACCAGCTGCGGGCAGCACTACCACGGCCGCTGCCTCGAGATCGCGCCCAGCACCGCCATCCGCGCCGGTTGGCAGTGCCCAGAGTGCAAGATATGCCAGACCTGCAGGTCCGCACACTCACACGCTCACACGCACGCACACATGTAGGAATGTGGGCGTGCGAGCACACGTGTGGGGGAGAGGTAGCGCAGCGGTTAGCCCGCTGTATTATGAGCCCGGCATCCGAGTTCCATCCCCGCTCACGGCTACCAACAGCAGTGATGATTATCTGAGCCGGTCCTGGGCCTCTCCTAGGTCGACTCAGCCTCAAGTGAGTACCTGGTACGATGTATCAAAATTTCCACTGTGGAGACAAAGGTGGCCGGGCGTGGTGCTGGCCACCCCCCACCCCCTCGTGTGTCGTGCCGGTCTTCATAGGTGGTCGCTAACAGCACTAGCCCCAACAATATGAATAGACTACACGGGTATCTTTAGGCTTTGTTACGGAGCTTTGTGCAATGGCGAGTGCATTTGCTATAATCGTCGCATCAACCTCCCGACACCACAGCACTTCACTCCGTATTGGCGAATCGATGCTGTCGTTACGTGCGCGTCAGCTGAGTCAACTACGTTTTGATCCGTCGGTGATAGGCGGTCAATGTGTTATGTTACTTTCCCAATTTTTATTTTTAAACCGCGATATCGAGATTTTTAATCTTTTTTAGTTTGTGTATATATCTAAAGCCTTTAGTGCTAGTGATTTCATTTTAACCCCGAGAACAACTATGCGTCGGCAACTGTTAATCCAGTGTCACATTCACAGCAAATCAGAAATGTATGTTAATGCAAATGACGGTCAAGGTCAAGACGCGAATGGGTTATCACGGCCAATGTTATTGATGCTAGCACTACATCTTCCTTGTCTTCGAAGATCCAATCGCCTGCCCTCCTTGTGGACATCATTGTTGTGAGGCGCCTGAGTGGTGGTTAGTGTTGTGCTGTCCCATTTTGTAATTCAGCCACGGTCGGCAGAGGATCCTCTCAGTCCACTGGCATGTACAGCCAGTATGTGAGTTCTCCTAGATAACAGCTTCGTAAAAAAACACTCGATCAATCCACTGCGGAATGAAGGCCTCCACACATCGTCACCATCACTCACAGTATCGCGATGTCCACGGTCCATTTAGCTCCTGCAAACGAGCAAATGTCATTGCTTCCTCGCCAAGGTGGTCTCTCCTTTGGCTGCCATTTCATCGCCAGTCTCGTCCGTCGGCCGTCATCCCTTCCAGCAACACATCTTGCCCACTTTAATCACGATGCAATGTCTCTTCGTTGCATTTGGACAAATATAGAAAGGCAGGGAAAATAATGGGGAAGAAATGCACGCCTGGGAATTAAACTGAGACACAGAAAGAGCAACGCACGCATCGGAGAACAAATCATATCATCGCTGAAGACACATGACTGTCTCAAGGGCTAGTTGCACCCCCAACAGACAACGGTGTAGTAGGAGGGATACAATGTAATCGTAAAATTACCCAAGGCAGATTAGCCTCAAGGAAGCCAATGACATCGATAGATACGGGCAGAGCAGTGGCTCCTACTTGGCGCTCTACCAGCCACCGCACCTCCGATTCGCACGGTTGGCTACGTGCGGTGCGAAAGAAGTTCAACATACATACATACATGCACCACACATCGTGCGGCATGAGTTTCGCGACGTTAAGAGTGAGTGCAACGCTGCGGTTGTGAGTACAGGCAGCCGGGCGATGACAGCAAGATGCTGGTGTGCGACGCCTGCGACAAGGGCTTTCACACGTACTGCCTGCGACCCGCCATGCAGTCCATTCCCAAGAACACGTGGAAGTGCAAGGTGGGTAGCTGGGGCACGCACACGCTTGCGCGCATGGGTGTGAACACGCACGACACCCACACGTGCGATCCCTTTTTTCCACCCCGCTTATTTACCCAGGAAAGTCTCGGCGAGCCTCAAGACTCCTTGAGCAGGAGGCTCCTGCCAAGATTTATCAGTAGGGGGGCAATGCTGCTGCCGTGTGTGATCCCAATTGAGAAATTTGCAGGTAATAGTTTGGCCAATACCAGTTACATTGTGTGTTTATTAAATGTTACTTTCGGGGGAAACCAGAGAACACGGACGAAATCCATGCAGAACAGGGGGAGAGAGAGAGAGAACTTGCAAACTCTGTAGAGAAAGGCGCCCGATTCAGGAATCGAACCCAGGCACTTCTTGCTGTCAGGCACGAGTGTTACCATTGTTCCACCCTGCCACCCAATTCCTAAGCATCCGAGCCCGTTAATTCTACATGGGCCGAGTGCAGGGAACTGAGCCTGGATTGCAGAAATGTGCAAAGGCGCAGCCATATTCTTAGGTTTTTTCGGTAAAGTCACGTAGGTAAAGAATTAAAATTAATAAAAATAAAATAAAAATCACAACGTTTCGGAGGCAACACAAGCTTCCGTCTTCAGGTGGACCGTCACAGCACGATAGCTATATCAAGTAAATGAGAGATTACAAGAGATACTTCCCCGTATATATACGGGGTAGTATCTCTTGTAAACGTCGTGATTTTTCTTTTATTTTACTTTTATTAATTTTTTACCTACGTGACTTTACCGAAAACCTAAGAATATGAAAGGCGCAGCACTCGCGTTTGCCAGCTCATGGCAATGCTGATGAAAGGCCCTCCACTGGAGGCAGTTCTAGCAAGCACCTCTTCAGGGTATTTGAATCTTCTCGTGCACAGGGGCCAGTTGTCATGGAAGAGGTGGCAGTCCACCCATACTTTACCCCCACTTTCAATACGAGGCAATTGAAACCTGGCAGTGGAGCATGAGCACAAGAAACAACAACTCAATGTGCATCCGTCAATAATGCTACCGTATAGAGGGGGGAATAATTATATGATGGGTGACATTTTGGGCTAATGGCCCTGTTGTCATTGTCGAGAGCCCCTCTGCATTGATTAATGTGAGTTTTTTTGCTATTTGTTCTCTTAACTCGCGGTGACAGCACTGCTTTCGATGAGAGTGGAATTTCTTTCTGCCATTGATTTACTGCGGTTGCACAGTTGGAAAATAATTGGTGAGTAAAAAAGTTTTTAAAAAGTTCAAGTATACACAAACCCGACGCTTTGGCAGGCGCAACGATTGTATACATCCAGCGACTCAGGCGCCCGATTGCGTGCTCGTTAACAAAGCTTTCGCACGTCACAGCCAAACACGGGTTCCTTTCGTGGGGTTTTTTGCCCCCCCCACCCCCGCTTTGATTTAAAATGTGATTATTGTACCGCTATGTAACGTTTCATTCTTATTGTGTACACAACGTTCGGGCTTGGCGCATGTGAATGGAACGCACATTGATGTCATGCACATGGCATCTGTTAATCAGTAATTTATTCACCGAATCAGTCATTGGCTTGGGTCTGAGCCAACACATGGCAAAGTGCGGCCTCCCACATGCAAGACTGTATTACTGCCATCCTTTATCACCAGAAATTGTAACTCATTATGACCAAATCAGTTCATATAAGATTAATTTAAAACACTGTTGGTAATTATGATTGTGGTACAATAAGACCAGACACAACAAGCACACACCTGTGAGCTCATACACGAATGTATCACCTGCAGGTCTTTACATGTACAGTATATACATGTGTGTGTTTCTTCTTTATACTTGTATGTGACTGTGGGTGGGTGGAGAGTGATGGTTAGCATGCTGCGCTACGAACCCAGAATCCTGAGTTCGATGGCTATCGGCAGTGTCAAGTGATATCTGAACCGGCCCTGGCCACACCACTTTCTCCCGTGCCATGCCAGCCTCAATAGGTGCTCACCGAGAGCACTTTCTTCCAACAGCCTATGAAGGTTACATGGGAGGACCTTTTAAGCATGTGCCGGAGGCCCTAAAGGGGCAGGCATTCATAATCCCGTTTGATAACTCCAGGGAATTAAAACCACCGCCTCGTGGGAGTAAGATGGTTGTCCATTAAGTGTGTCTAGCCTGGCATAAGCACCATACGAACATCGCTGCCATGGAATCGCAAAGGGCAGCTGTTCTTGTTGTGTGTGTGCATGCGTGAGAAGCGGTAGTGTAATGGTGAGCGCAATGCGCTACGAACTTGGCGACCCGCGTTCGATTCCCGCTCACGGCCAAGACCAATGACAATTATCTGAATCGTTTCTGGGCCTCTCCTCGGTCGACTCAGCCTCAAATGAGCACCTGGTGCGGTATGTAAAACATCGCCACTCGGAAGACAAAGGCGGTAGGGCGTGGTATTGGCCACCCCACCCCCTCGTGTGCCATACCGGCCTTCATAGGTGCTCGCTAACAGAACTTGCCCGAAGAGTCTGTTCAGGCTATGAAGGGGATCTTTATCTTCGTGTTCCTCTCTGGTGCTCGTATACACATGCCCGTGTGTGCCCGTTTGCCCCGTGCGCGCTCGCAGCACTGCCGGTCGTGCAGCGACTGCGGCTCGCGATCGGCGGGCGCGGAGCCCGGCTCGCGCTGGCACCGCGACTACTCGCTGTGCGAGCGCTGCCACCAGCAGCGCGCGAGCGGGCGCGCCTGTCCCGTGTGCGGAAGGGCGCACGGCCGCCGCCCCGCGTCCACGCTCCTTGCGTGCCAGCGCTGCAGCAGGTGAGGTCCCAGTTGGGCATCGCGCCGGCGCTGTCGGGTCGCTCCGCGCCGCTGGATATCTGTCGGTGGCGCGGCAGTCTACGCCGCACCCCGCGACGTCGATGCATTGTGCCCACTGTTAATTTAGTCGGTGCTCTGGTCTCGGCTTAGTTGTTCTTCCTCCTCACCTTTTAATCTAGCACGGTTGGCTGTGTATGGTGGGAAATAATTTCAACGTACGTACAAAGGAAAAGAAACGGCTCTATTGACATGAGATGGTGAGGTGCTTTGAAATGCTGGGGCATTTAAGAGCAATAAATGGAAAAATTATCGTGATTTTTTTCTGTCTGGCTAGTTAATGACAACCTGTGGAATTTTAGTTTGCAAATTGTATTTGTTTATTAATATAAATGCTGACTAATATAGCCAATTTAGTTTGTTAATAACCAAACTAAATACGCAAAAGTGACTAAAATGCCACAGGTTGTCAGACTATGAAGGCTAAAACGACGACTAAATTAAAACCGGTTGCTTCGTACCACAACACTCCATACCACGACACATCATACCACGACCTGCTACCGAACGCCGTTCCTCTGCACCACGTGACGGTCAGTGTCACACCACGGCATGTTGCAGTACACCACGATGATGCAGTTACACTGAGATGACGCCACGGCACGTTGACACGTCGGGAGGCGCTGCGCTCTACCGTGTGGACCGGTGGTCATTTGAAAGGGATCTCCGGAGGGGAAGCTCTGTGATATCCATTTCTTTGGACCATTCTCCAACATGGAGTTGCTCTCACTGCTCACTGCGAGAGAGATGATGGATATCTCGTCCTTTGACACCGATAGCACCATCGAGATTTAAATTTAAAGAAATACAAAGTATACGGCAGCCGTTATTGTGTGTCCTTGCAGGTGCATTTATTCATTGGCTCGCATGGCTGTGTGCGCGTGCGTGGTGTTTTCGCGTGCGTTTGCTCATCACCGACAATTGTGCAGCCGACTACGGCTCGTGCTCGCCGCTCCCCTGTGTGCCAAGAGCTGGCCGCCCGTCCGCGGTGTAAATTCTTAAACTCGAACTTGACGCGCTGACGGATGGACGGACCTGCTTGTCGTTCTAGAATGGTGCACGCCGAGTGCGAGGAGTCCGGCGTACGGACCGGGCTCGACTGCCGCGACTACCTGTGCCCGCTGTGCCGGCCCCGCTCGCTGGCGCAGAGGGAGCGGCCGAGGAGGCTACCGCCCCCGCCCGGCACGGCTCCCGGCGGCAGAGACGTCGTCCCCTTAAAGTCGCCACCAATGGCGGCTTTGGCCGCGACGGCAGGTGTGGTGGCCCCCACTGGGACACGCTCGCTGCCACGCACGCACACTGCCCCTCCCGTCTAAATGCATGCACCGCTCGACTGGCGGACGACAAAGCGGCTCGGGAATTTTCTCCCGTCTTCTAATTATATCGTCCGATTAGCATGGTTGGTTGCGTACGGTGCAAAAGAAGTGCAGCATACATACAACCTTACTTACTCAATTCAAGAGACGCGTTAGCTCTGTACCTGTTGCTTCTTTGAGAGTACCGTTTGTTGCTGCCCGCTTTACATTGCTCCTCCTGTGCTCAGCAACAAGAAGCCGCCACGTACACCGTTGTCTTTCACAGCTGATAAGACTGGCAATACGCACACACACACACCCAGGGTCGCACAAATAGCCACACAGTCACTTCGACACGCAAAGACTGGATCATCTGTTTAGCCTACATAGGCTGGTTGGGCAAGTTCCGTTAGTGAGCACCTATTAGGGATGACGCGCCTCTCCAGGGGATGGGTGTCTCCAGCACGAAGCTTTTATCTTCCTAGTGCCGATGTGTGTACTCTTTATCAATTTAATGCTACGTCAACCCTAGGGGATGCTGAAGGCTGGTTCACATATCTCTTATTGCTGATAGGCAGCAGTGGTAGGGAATCAAACTCAGGTCGCCAAATTTGTAACACAGTGTCGAAGGCCTGCTTGGCAGAAGGTCACATGACAAACCCAGATGTAACGGGTTAATTGACCGAGGTGACTGGCAGATGCACCACCTGTGCTACCCACTGTGACAAGTTGGCATGTACATATCCCACGCACGTGTGTTCTTTTGCACAACAAAGTCATGCTCACAGCACCACACACGTTGATCCAAGGATCCGCTGTTCTTATTTTAACCTTTTTTTTTATTGTCCCGAGTTCATATTATTGTCCCGAGATCAAATTTAGCTAACTTGTACAGTCAACACACAGGTTATTTTTCATGACAAGTTTGGTGATTTCAGTCTGGTTAATTTAGAAAAAAAAAATTTATCCCAGAGAAATCTTTTGAGCTATGAACGCTTTTTCACAGATGTCCAAATAACTGGTGAATCACCGTGTGCTTCGAGCCCCTATGGTCAATCCAGATATCGCCACCTTCTGTGCGCGCCAGCTTTAGATGTCTCTCTTGATCAACGAACGAGTTTTTTGTTTTTTTTGCAGACCCAGGCTCCAGGATCGCGTCGGGCTCTGGCAGCAGGGAGACAGACGCTGCCCGGCCGCCCTCGTTACGCCTGCCGCCCCGGCACCGCGACCCCGAGCGCCCGGCACTCCCTCATCCCCCTCACGGGCCGAGCCTCGCCGAGCGGCACCGCCATCCGCCCGTCGGCCCCTCCGCCGCGGGCAGCGAGGCGGACCGTCAACGCGACCGCCACCCGGTGCGCCGGCCGTTCGGGCCGCCGATGCCGGGCCTGCCTCACGGCGCCACCGCCGGCGCTGCCGCGCTCCACAAAGCCAGGCTGGACGGTCGGGAGGATCGCCCGCCGGGGATGGGCCTCAACTTCACGGGGCCTCGGAGGCCGCGCGAACTTCCCCGCGACAAGATGAAGTCGTACGTGAAGCTGGAGCCCACGGGGCGACCGCCACCGCCGGTGGGGGGCATGGCGAGGCCGCACGGCACCCCCCACGGGCACGGTGAACTTGCGTCGCGACCGCCGCACTCCGGGCCCTTCGGTCCCGGCGCCGCGAGGCCGCCCAAGGTGGTTCCCCCGCACGGGCACGTACCGGGCGGGGCGAGGCACGAGCCCGCCGCGAGCGCCGGCGCCGCCCTCGCCTTCAAGTACCACCCCCGCGAGATGGGTCGGCCCATACGACCGCCGGGCCCGCTCCCGCCTAACGCGCCCTCCGTTTCTGGCGCCGAGCGGCACAGGCCCAGGGAGGCGCCGAGTGCCAGCGGCGTCGGCGCAGAGCAGCCGACGCAGAGGCACGGGGTGCCGCGTCCTGTCGACAGGGGTGTCGCCGGAACGACGGGGCAGGCTGCCGGATCGAATCCCCAGGCACTGGGCAAAATCGCGGCGCCGGGCTCAACCGCCGGCACCGTGACGATGTCACGTCCCGCCGGTGCTGCTCCCGCGCAGTCCTTCCCGACGTCAGGCGAGCGGACAGCGCTGTCAGTTGTGCCAGTCAGGGAACGACTGGTGCCTGCCATTGGCGGCGGCGGCGGGGGTGGTGGTTGTGGCAGCAGCGGAGGGAGCGGCGGCAACATTGGTGGAGCCCATAAGTTTTCGGCGTACTCCATGGCGTGCTGCTCGGGGACCTCGCAGTCGGTAATGCCGAGAATCGGCATGGGGAAGCCGGCGATCTTCAGGCAACGCTTCTCCACTGGCCGCTCACGCATCCGGCACCTGCAGGTGACTGTGCCAACCTAGTGGTGGGCAGAACGCTGCCACCGCAATTGCTTGGTTGATTGGTTTGCAGGGCGGTTGTGGTAATGCAGGTGACTTGTGTGTTCTTAATTGTGGACAGCGTTAGTGCTATGGATTCCCGTTCACGGCCAACACCGGTGCCAATTTTCTGTACTGGTCCTGGGCCTGCCCCAGGTCGACTCTGCCTCAAATGAGTACCTGGTGCGGTGTGTAAACATCGCCACTGGGGACACAAAGGCGGTCGGGCGTGGTGCCAGCCACCTGCCCCCTCGTGTGCCGTGCCGGCCTTCATAGGTGCTTATTAACAGCACTTACCCCCACAGTCTTTTAAGGCTATGCAGGCGATCTTTGTATTTGATATCTTAATTACAGCGATAGGGCCCAACACTGAAGCGTTCTCAGCTTGTTGCAGAGGTTCACGATTCAAATCCAGCGACCGCCTTGATTAATTTTGGAGGTGTAATAACTATAAAAATACACGCCGTCTGCTTCACAGTGGAGGTCACCTGTGGTCAATTTGTCCAATTCAAAGAATTTCTCCAAAATGACTCGGTTGGGAGAGCACAGAGCAGTCATCGCCGCTCGTTGCGACACAGCTGCAGGCTGTCGGTGAGACACGACGCCCTCGCGAGAGCCTTGCGTGACGGCCACGCATGCTCGCGATTTGACTTGGTGCCACGTTCCCTTTCACCCGCAGGGTCCCAGCGTCGGGTTCCGTGGGAGGAGGTTCCCGAGGGGGGGTCCCGGAGGACACCCCCAGAGTAGGGGCCGTGGGCGAGGGGGCAGCTACCGCTCCCCCACGGGCAGCATCACCACGTCCGGGGTGAGAACTCGGGTGTTTGTGAGCACTGGCTCCAGCTCTAGATGATTGCTGCTTGCTTGCTTTGTCTGGGGGCGGGGGGTGAAGCAATGTTTTTGTAACTTGGGTAGACGAGGGAAGGTGGCCGGCAGCCTGGGGTGTTGTGGGGAGGGGTTCATAATGGCCGTGTCGCTGGCCGGCAAAAGCGCTGTGCGGGTAGGCACCTCAGAGATCTTGGCTACTCAGCCCAGACATTCACCTACCCGTAATTAAACTGGGTTCTCTCGTCTTTAGCAAGTGGCAATGGTTTCAACCTATAATCCTCATTGAAATTTACACAGAAAATCACTTCAAGTATTTGGTCCTTGGCTTTCTTTTGGCCAACATCCGGCTCTGCGGTTTCACATTCATTAATTCATCGGGTGACTGATGCGTGGCGAACCGCCGGTGAGAGGAGGGCAAAGAGGCATCGCCACGAATTAGACCCAGTTTTGCTGGAGCCATAATGTGACGTCTTAATTAACTACGATGGCCTCATTCTTCAACGTCCATAACATCCGTCACCTTTTAACACGTAATTGCCCCATCAACTTTACGTATCTTCCTCTGGTTCGCGATCGTGTGTGTTGCCGGCACTTTAAATCAAACCCGTGTTTTTTGAGCTGGATTGTTTAGCCCAATGGCTTGTCTGTTCGGTTATTTATTTTATTGTAAAAGCGTCCTGGGATGCTCTGTGCTACGCGAACTCAAATTGCGTTACATTGGTAGGCATGTGCATTGGGTAATTGCTATGTCGTGTAGGCGTTGGCGCGTCATTGATATGGTGAAATTCTGTTTGGTGGTGTTCCCATGTGAAAGCTGTTCAATTTTAAACCCGGCAGTCTTTTTTTCCCCTACACGTTTGAATTGCGGTGCCATTCCATCTTGTTTTTTTCGTGTCTTCTTCCACGACTCACCTTTATGCTGTCTGCTGCCACCCGCGCGCGCGCTGCTGTTATTGTCTCCACGACCCAGGGCTTCACGCCCGAGGGCTCCATGAAGAAGGAGGAGCCGTCGGAGGACGCGATGCCTAACACGGTCGTTCTCTTCTCCACCAACGACAAGTACACGCTCAAGCAGGTACGGGGAACGCAGCCCCAGACTCGTAACGGCCGTGTCGGGAGGATCCGCGGGTCGCCTTGATCGGAGCCACCGAATTGTGATCCTGGGTTTATAATCTTCGAGTTTCAGAAACCTGGAATTAAACCAGGTTTTTCATATTCTTAGGTTTTTTCGGTAAAGTCACGTAGGTAAAAAATTTTAATTAATAAAAGTTAAATAAAATAAAAATCACGACGTTTCGGAGGCAACACAAGCTTCCGTCTTCAGGTGGAACCGTCACACCTGAAGACGGAAGCTTGTGTTTCCTCCGAAACGTCGTGATTTTCATTTTATTTTTATTTTACTTTTATTAATTTAAATTTTTTAACTACGTGACTTTACCAAATAAACCTAAGAATATGAATACTTGCAGTCACGAAAGCTTCAAATCTAAAACCAGGTTTTCTTCCGTTGAGATGGTCTCAGAGACGGTCACACGCACAACATTCAAGTGGCAGTGGTTCCACCTGCTGAAATGAGTGTGGCGGGGGTGGATGTGGTTATCTATGTCAGTGGCTCTGAGAGAGTGCCGGTTGGTGAAATACCATGTTCTTCTGGCAGGAGAAGCCAGTCTAGTCGCAGGATGGAAACGTTCCACAAAGTTGTCTACAAAAAACCGGGGCAGCACCTGAGCAGTTAAGGGCAACACCTGTCCCCCTGATCGGAATTTGGACTCAAAATCTTCTCATTGTAATTGAAGCTCCTTTGAAAAAAGTGCGTCCAGGCTGGATTAAAAAACGCCCATCATGTTTCTAACAAACAAATTGTGCTGATTGTCTTTTTAAATAATTTGGTTTGTCATTGGTCTAAAGATGAACACGTCGATTGATTGACAGCAACAAGCACTCTTCACAAAGCATGAAGGGAGTGCATTGTAGTGTTTGCTGAGAGGGCCAATTGAAAGCAATTGTAAAAGTGTGCTTATATGTTCTAGATTTAAAGCTTTCGTGACTGCAAGGATTCATACTCTTAGTTCTTTCGGTAAAAAAAGACTTTACCGAAAGAACTAAGAGTATGTGCTTATATGCTAGAAAACTTTGGAAAAGTGCCATTTTTTTTGCCCGTACATGTGTGCGATAGTGCAGTCGTTGGCGCACTACGCTACAAACCCTGCGATGCGAGTTCCATTTCCATCCACGGCTAACATCAGCAGCGAATATCTGAAGTAGTCCTGGGCCTCTTATGTCGACTCGGCCAAAATTTATTACAGTCGTGGAGACAAAGGTGGCAGTGTGTGGTCTTTGCCACATCCCCCCCACCCCCTTTGTGCTACTCGCTGACATCACTTGCCCCAACAGTCTGTTAAAGTCTATAGGTAAACGTGTGCATGTGTGCTCCTGCGTATATTTCTGTGTGGTGTTGACCACCCCCACCCCCCCTTTCGTGTCGTCGTGCAGGACTCAATATGTGCTCGCTAGCCTCTCTTGCCTCACCAAGTCTGTTAAGGCTATACGAGCAACCTTGGTCTTTTGCTTTGGCTTGTATGCTTGCAGGATATGTGCGTCGTATGCGGCAGCTTTGGGCTCGGTGCCGAGGGACAGCTGCTCGCGTGCTCGCAGTGTGGGCAGTGTTACCACCCGTACTGCGTTGGAACCAAGGTGAGAGGGGTCCGTAAATCTCCTGGTCGGGCTAAACTCGGACGGCAAACAGTGCCGCCATATCAGCGTTATCATCGATAATTGTGACACGTTTGTCTTATTGAACAAGGTGAATGGTGTGTAAGCGCTTGGGGAAAAGGCTGTGGGAGGGAATTCCAGTGTCGAGCTCTGTGAGGGACAGAGCAGAAAGAGAAGTGTGGTGACCTGCATTACGGTGGTGGTGGTGGTGGTTGACGTGTAACAGTGTGATAGACCAAATCTTCGTCACGGGTGGAGGAATCAATGAGTGAGGTTGACGAGAACAGTAACCGTGGTAGCGGTGATAGAAGAGTGACAAGGAAGCGACTGACCGACTGTGAGCGAGTTACTGGAGTACATTTTAGCGAGCGCTGGATCATCATTCCACCTCACTGCGTTACGTTGAATCCTGCCACGAACGTTTCTCCCCTGTGCTTGCACGCGCGTCAGATCACGCGCGTGGTGCTGAGCAAAGGCTGGCGCTGCTTGGAGTGCACGGTGTGCGAGTCTTGCGGACTCACATCAGACCCCGGGCGCCTGCTCCTGTGTGACGACTGCGACATCAGCTACCACATCTACTGCCTCGAACCGCCCCTGCACACAGTGCCCAAGGGCGGCTGGAAGTGCAAGTGGTGAGTTGAGTGTTCGGCCGCTCGAACGTGGCTTCGCTCCCGCCCCCCCCCCCCCCCCCGTTTGCCTCTGGCTTGTGACTTCCATTACCCCTCTAACTCTCTCTCGGCAAAGTAGTTGTCCACTACTCTTTGGTTCTTTCGGTAAAATCACGTAGGTATAAAATAAAACAAAATAAGTTCAATCATTTTGTTTTATTTTATTTTCTACCTACGGGACTTTACCGAAAGAACCAAAGAGTATGGATCCCTGCAATCATGAAAACTTCAAATCATCTAGATTTAATTGTCCACTGGTTTCTCCCCATGCGTCTTGAGATGCGGTGGCATTTAGGGCGCCGCATTAATCCTCAAAGGTCGATTTGATTGTTGGTATTTTTTTGTCTGAAAGCTCGTGATGGTTCGTTGTCCACCACCACTAGCAGTAAGTAATAAGTCTGCCCAACTGGACGTCTGTGAAAAAGAAGCTTCGTAACTCATCGGATTCCTCGAGTCTAAATAAAAATTCTGATAGGCCGTACCAGAACTGTAATCACACACATGAGTGTTTCCACAACCTGCGTAGCACTGCCCACTGTAGCATTGCCCATGAAGTTTCGCTCAATCCTATCCTGGGCCATCTCCACGTCCACTTCAAAGTCCCTCCACATCCTGTTTCAGCACTTCCAGCCATCTTCTTCTAGGCCTGCCTCTTAGCCTCTATCCAGGGGTCAATCTTGCAAATAAGACCATCCCTGTGCATGTACGTATCTATGTATGTTCAACTTTTTTTCCGCACCAATCGGAGGTTCTAATGTCTATGTTCGGAGCGTGTCGGTGACTACTACTAAAACCAGATTTAACACAAGTACTAAAATCTCGTATTTCACTAACTCGCTCACCGTGCGTGCATGCTGTAGGTGCGTGTGCTGCCTGCAGTGCGGGGCGTCGGAGCCAGGCTTCCGCTGCGAGTGGCAGAACAACCACACGCAGTGCGCTCCGTGCACCAGCCTCTCCACGTGCCCAGTGTGCGCTCAGGCCTACCGCGAGCAGCAGCTCATCGTTCAGTGCCGCCAGTGCGACAGGTATGTGCGCACACCTCCTTCACGCACGCTTCACATTACCCCTGGCTCTCCCTGGGGCTCATCGTCATCATTGTCATCGTTGTTGTTGTTGTCAATCCATGCCGTGCTGCCGTGCTGCCGTGTTGCGCTCTCTCTCGCTCCCATGAATAGCAAAATCTTGACACATTCCGCCGCTGTGGCGCTGCTCTACGAAGGGAAACATGAGGGCCATTTACTTGTGCACCACTCTCAATGCAATATGACAACAAATCTCTGCCACTACCCTGCTACCCTGATTTTTTTTACCCTAATGTAATTTTTTGCATTGTTTTGAGACACAGGTGCATTTGAACTCTATGCAAAATAAGATTGCTCTTGTACCACGTTCCAGTTTCATTTTTAAACCATAATTATCAGCACTGGAGGTCATGTAAGAATTGGTTGATTGTAATCTATCCTCGTACTCACGAACGTCGCGCATTCGTGTTGCGTGTGATAACTTTGTTTGTCTCGCTGCCGCTGATCGCTGCTGCGGTTGCTGTTGCGATGGTGCCCGTTTGCAGGTGGATGCACGGCTCGTGCGAGGGGATGCACTCGGAGGAGGAGGTAGAGAAAGCAGCCGATGACGGCTTCGACTGCTCCTTGTGCCGCCAGCATCCCACGGCGTCACTCGGTACGGCGACGGTGCTTAACCGCCATTCCGGCGGTCGTAGCTGGCATTATTCCAGGTTTCTCTTCATTCTGTACTGTCGGGCCATTGCGTCCAGTGGCCCAGCAGTACAGGACGAGAGAGAGGCAAGTTAAAAAAATTTAATCAAGGTACAAAACATGCCCTCCCGCATGGCCTTTTACTTCTGATTCAGTTCGTAATCATTTCAATCCCATTCAGAATCGATTCCGTTCCGATGATTTAAACGTACGGAAACGGAAGAAAAACTGAACGGGAAAGGGTTAATGTTTGCTAGCGATCATGCGCACACCCCACCATTCGTATTGTCGGTGCTGGCTCTCGCCCCATGCTTTAATTTTATTGCTCACACTCGCCAGTATTTGTAACCGTAGGATGCAGCCTTAAAATGCTGTAGATTGGCGACGGTTACTGGTTATTGGATAAATCTGGAAATATCTGAAAATCCAACCCAGATTGTTGTTTCAGGTCGATCGGAAATAATGCCGTCACAGGAAGTGATGTCGATATTGTGATGTCGCTTCTGTGGTGAAAAAAATCTGTAAATCTGAAATACGACAATTTAAAATCATAAACTCTTCCCGACTTATGATATGCTTCCAGCGGTTGTCCCGAAGACCCATGCAAGCATTAATTTAGATATTTTTTCCGCATGCCTGCCAGCATCAAGCGTCATTTCCACCCGACTTTGGGCTTGCATAAATGTTGACTCCACAACAGATTTTCTCAACAAAATAAATATTTCAGCGCCTGCAGCTCTTCGATTGGCTGCCGGTCTGCTGTCCCCCCCCCCCCCCCCCCCCCCCCGTGCTGGAGAATGTCCTTCCCGATTCTCTTCCATTCCATCCTCCTCTTAGTTTTCCCCATTACAGTCATAGCCTCCAAACTCGTTTGCTTTGTCTCGTTGCTGCCACTGCCATGTCTTCCACCGTCTTCCTCCACTGCTGTTGCCTTCTCTCTCAGTATCCGCTGAATATTCGATGCCTCGTCATTGTTAACGTCCCATCCTTCCGACTCATTGGCACCCAAAAGCAATTTTCTCCACGGACACAATCCCGCTTGTGTGTTTGTCGCTGTAAAGAACGTGGCATAAACCTGCCCTTAATCCTTGAGCCCAATCAGATATTTTTGTTGGTGCTGCCTGTGATGTCTATTGTTTAATTGGTCCTTAAACATAGGCGACATTTGTACATGGTACACATTGAACCACGAGTACAGCCCTAAGTTTTATCAACTGCTGGATGAGGGCCACCCCAATCCGTGCGAGCCCTGGCACTTCAGCACGCTGGGCAGTGCTTTGTTGGTCAAGGTGAGGAGAGTAGCCATTGGAAAAAAGTACTACATTCGATTTTGCTGTCCTATATCTCAGCCGTCTCTTGTTTGGTGAAATTAAGGACATCAAACTGACTAGATCTTTACAAAGGCTGCTGTGTCGTTGTGTTACTACTGCAGGCAATGCTGTGAGCAAAGTTGAGGCGACTTCAGAGATTCTTCCCATTGCCACAGAACCAGGTACCCCGTGTGATAATAATGACGACAATCTCGATCATGTTGAAGAAGAAAAATGCAGTGGCGGTGATAGTAATGATGTTGATCATGAAGAGAGGATAATGTGAATGATGGTGGCGGTAAAGGTCATAATAGTTAGTGTACATTTCCACACGTTGGTCAATCTTATTGCAGGATAAGGGACTTCCTGCATTTGCTGCATGTTTCTCTCTGTGTCATTCATCTTGACCACTCGTCTGCTTTCACGTCTATCCATCCGCCTGTTCATGCAACCCCTGCTCCGTCCGCCTGTATATATCCGTACCTCGGTCCGTCTGACCCGCGCGTCAACTCTCGCGTCCGTCTGTCTCTCAGAGCCGGCGCCGAGGCTGTACACGCAGGACGGCGTGTGCCTCACCGAATCTGGGCTGCACCAGCTGCAGCGGCTGGCGCTAGAGCCGTCGGCGCGTCGGCGGCGCGTGCGAGCCCGTCTGCGGCACGGGGCGGTGCCCGGGGGAGACTCGAGCGACCCCGGCAGCTCCGACATCACGAGCCCCCGCGATGCCGAGCGCAGCTCCGAGCAGCCCCGCCGTGGTCAGTGGCCTAGCCTGGGTTGCACGGTGCGGGGAGGGCCCGGTGCAAGGGATGAATTCAATGGGGGGGTTCTGGGGTTCCCCCCCCCCATTGTTCGATCCTTTGTACCGTCTATTATTATGAATGGCATTTGACCGGTCGACGGCAGTATGAACTCGAGAAAGACTTTTCTTTTAACATAGTACAACGTCGTTGGTCTCGGCGTGCCTGTGGGTGCGTTTTGAACGCACGCGTTTCGCACACGCGTGTCTCCAATGATGTCGGCATCGTCTTGGCGTCATGCAGCTCAGTGCCTTGGTCCCGTTGGCCCGTGGGCCGCCACAGTACAGTGACGCCGCCTGTACACTCCATTAGCCGAGCCTCTGCGCCATATGAGTCAATACCTACGAGATAGTATGAACGAGACGACGCGTAATCGATTCTTGAATTGAGCTGTGACCCGCGGATGATGACGAAACATCATATCTTGGGGGGCGGGCTTGAATCATCCAGTTGTGCATTTAAGAGCAGGCGTACACGTTGAGATGTTTGTGCATGCACGCGCAGTGGTGACGACGGACAGACCTGACAGCCGCTCGGACACGCTGACCAGCCCGGAGCGGGAGGGCGCAGACGGTGGGAGACCGCCAAAGGAGGAGACGTCTCCCCGGAAGAGAAAGCTGTACAGGCCCGGTGAGAGGCACATGCCAGGCAGGGTGCGCACCACCTCGACACGACCCTGGAGCCAGAGGTTAAAACCGGGTACCCGATACCCGTACCCTACCCGATACCCGGCTACCCGTACCCGGCCGGGTACGGGTATGGGTAGCCGTTTGCGACCCTGGTGCGGCCGGGTACGGGTCGTCCATGAGTCACCGGTGAGTAACCGTTTGGCACTCATTTCGGGTAGGGTACGGGTAGCGTACGTGTACCCATACCCGGCCGGGTACGGGTACCCGTTTGCGACCCTGGTGCGGCCGGGTACGGGTAAGGAATCAAAACCCGTTTGCGACCTCTGCCTGGAGCTCTGTAATGATGGACAGGCCAAGCAGTTTCTTGCTGGAAAATAATAGCACGGTGGCGAGATGTTAATTACCTCGCCAGGTATCCAGGTCACGGGTTCAATCATGACCCTGAAGCCTTTATATTTGGAGTTTTCGTATCTCTCTCCCCGGGATCACGTGGATTTTTTTTGGGTCCTCCAGTTGTTCCCCCACATTTAGAAAGATGCGTTTTAGAGTATTTGGCTGCAATACATTTACATGGGATAAGTCGCTTCGTTGAGCAATTATTTGTGACCAGGTCGCTTCTGAAAAATAGCTATATAGCTGAGTGAACCTTACCTGGTAAGATAAAAAAGGTAGTTTAGTAAAAAAAATTGTTTAGGTTACATAGAAGCTCACATACCGCCTCATATACCCGCAATCTTCAATCCACCACACATAAACTTACTTACCAACTCCATGCCACCACAACCAAAGACAAAGGTCCCCCCATGTAGCCTCCACATGCTGTTGGGGCAAGTGTCGTTAGAGAGTACCTAATGAAGGCCGGCACGGCACACGATTGAGTGGGGGTGGCCATTACCACGCCGGCAAGTCTGCCTTTGCCTGCTACTTTAACACTCTGCACCAGCTACTCATTTTAAGGCTGGATCGTTCTAAAGGAGGCTTAATACCAGTTTAGGTATTCATCAGCAATGTTGGCTATGAGTGGGAAGTGAGCTCGGGTCACCGGGTTCGTTGCTGTCTGCACGAACCACCACGCCAACGCACCACACGCTCGCGCAATACCGCACGTCGTGCCGCCCGTTACCATCCCTGACGTCTCCCTCCCGCTTGCTGCCGCATGCCACCAGGTGTGGGGGGCTTCCTGGTGCGGCGCCGCTGCGGCTCCGGCTGGGCACGCGGGCGCGGGGGGCTCCTGCGCGGACGCTCCCTCTCGCTCACCGAGTGGGGGCCCTCGGCTGCCCGAACCAGCGAGGGCAGCGACGGTAACAAGGGGTGGGGCAGGGGGTGGCGATGGGGGTGGTGGGGGGGGGGGGAAGGATTTAGAATTGACAGGAAGAAAATGTATACAAATGTTGATAAGGATAATGAAATTTAAAATGATGGTGATTTTCTGGTAGTAACAGCTACAACATGAATGTTGTATTCCGTAATGATGTAAGAGATGACATTAATGATGATAGCATTTGTGGAATTGATAATGGTGACATTAATGATGTTTCTGTCAGCTATAATTGTGGTGGCCATGATGACAGTGATTAATGTTGATAATGGCGATGATGATGGTGTCAACAATGATGATGGTGATTGGGTCGATGGTAACAATGGTGATGATGATTGCGACGTTGGTGACGATGCAGGGTGCATAGAGCCCTCCACGGATGAGGGGCTGCTGAGCCCGGATTCGGGAAGATTGAGAAAAAATCACCCGAGGAAGAGAGCCCGGCTTGAAGACACCTTTCCTCCGTACCTTCAGGTCTGCACAAACAACAAACCGCAGGGTTGCAGTTGTCGGTTTACGTTAAAATTGGTGTTTAAGTTGTCGACTCATACGAGCATCATGCGCACTATGAAGTGCAACGTCGACTCCCCTCAAGCAGCTCCCAAGTCCACACCGAACCGTCACTGTTGCCTTCACCCGAGTGTTCGCCTGAGATTCAACAACCAGCCGTAATCCTGAGGTTGACTGTCACAAGATCGGGGGAGCACCTTAACATATAGAGGACCACAGCACTCGGGCAATTTTTGGCACCCGCTTATCTGTGGTTCCTTACACCTCCCTCTTCGAGTGAGAGAATAGTGTGCCCATTAAAAATATAAAGAATCATTATTTTTATTATGTAGATTAGATAGATTGTGTTTATTTCAGGAGGAGCCCAGTGAGCTGCTTTGCCTGTATTTCATTGGCGTCCTGCAACGGTGTAGATATATTTACACACATGTATGTTCAACTTCATTCGCACCGTACGTAGCCAACCATGCCAATTGGAGATGCGGGGGGAAGGATAACAAACTAAACACAAAAAACTTTCATAGACTATGCTTACATTTATATATGCTTACATTTATATGTATTTATATAAGAATAATATATAATAATTTGCATATCTTGTATTTTACGTACAGTGTGATGTTCTGTGCATTTAGCATTTTACATGTATAATACTCCACATGTATGGTAGTAGTTAGGGGACATAATGGCTACATTTATGAGCATACTGCATTGCGAGCCCTGGGACCCGTTCAGATAATTGTCACTGAAGTTGGTGGCGGTGAGCAGGAATTGAACTCTGGTCGTCGAGTATGCAACGCAGCGCCCACCGCTTCCCCACACACACTCTCCATACACACACTCTATTATACACACACATTACCCACACTACGTACACTAACACACACTCCACACACACTAACACACACATCGCTGGTCTTTGGCCACAGGAGGCCTTCTTCGGCAAGAGCCTGCTGGACTCGGCGCGGGACCGGCCGCTCGACGCGACCCCAGCTCTGGACGATGCGGCCCCCCTCTCCTCGCCGTGCCCCCCGCTCGCCGCTCCGCCTGCCCCCCCGGGGCTCGTCAAAGAGCCGGTGGGGGACGGCGCAGACGACGCGACCGTCGCCGAGGCCCACGCGACCGTCGCCGTGGCGACCGACTCCGCCAGCCACGTGAAGGCCGCGATGCACGGTACGGCTTCCCGGCACAGCAGAGGACGCCCCCCGGGTATCGGGTGGCGGAGGGGCCGGGGGCAGCTCTGAGATCTCGTGATGACCATGTCAGTCGAGCTGAGTTGATATTGTGGGTTCAAACCCTCTGCTTGGGTTCCCTTCCTTTATGTTGGAGGCACCGAGCCAGCACTTCTAACTTGTGTCCTTGAATTACACCACGTGGCATTCTGTGGCATTGTGAGAGATTCTCAACTGGCACCGCTGAGATCCTTTTTTGCCAACTGTTGTTTTTGGGTCTCTTCTCCCAAATGAGGACTATGGATATTATTATGACGATGATGGTGATGACGATGATATTGATGACGTTTGTTTGGGTGGTGGTTTCCCACAGTTGATGCGACTGAGGATCCACTCACAGAGCTCTCCGATGACATCCTCGGGATTTTGACGCGGGACCTGGGGCGGCAACCGGCAGACACGGGTGAGCCACACTCGTCGCAGCGTCACATTTACCTCCGTTTCATCGTCAACGTCTCCATCGTTACCAGTAAACTCATCGGCATCGTTACATTGTCAACACAACGGGACCAACGACAATGTTGAAATCGTGTTTATAAATAGTAACATGGCCGTCATCATCGGCAGCAGTAGGGACCTAATATTAATTGCTGAAGCAAATAAAATGATTTCATATAGCCGTGATGTGTGAATTAATGTGTGTGCCTTTATTTATATGTGGGTCTGTGAGCGATGGCAATAGCATGAGGAGGCCTTCGTCCACCAGTGAATAGAACACGATGATCGATGATGGTGATGGTGTGGAGAGACCCTTAAAGGATACGAGACGCAATCCTGTGTTAAAACATGTGTGGGGTCTATTCCACAGCGTGTGTGTGTAGTAGGAGATCCCTGTGCAGCTTTTCTTAAAACCTCCCGCTTTGCTCTGCACCCTATATACTAACAGCAACAGATCAGAAGTGATATGAGGATCAATAAAAAATGTATATAAAGACATCGTTGTCTCTGAAGCCACCCTCTTTGGCACCATACGTCACCAACCCTGCTAATCGGAGGAGCGATTTTCTACTCTTCCCGCGAACAGACAAGGCGTGCGAGCCATCGCAGCCTCCCCCCGCGTTCCACGCACGCTCGCTCGACAACGCCTTCCTGCCCAGCGACTTGGACCGCATGGTCCCCGATGGTAAGCGCCCCCCTCCGATGCCCGCGCCTTGTTTTTCCAGCCCCCCTCACACGGGGACGCTGGTTGCGTTACCTGCGCTCTGGGTGGTGTGTCTGTGCTGCGGGCAAAGCCGCCCCTAGGGTACACGGCAGATCGAGGCGACTGCCCCAGGCCGCGTGCTTTTGGGGGAGGGGGGGGGGGGGCGCTCGCTATGACGTCACGGTGTCCGATGTAATTCTTCCGGTGACCTCGCGTCGTGACCCCGCGCCGTGCGCGCTGTCAACAGAGCTCACGCACATCGAGGGCAAGGACGTGGAGGAGCTCTTCACGGCACTGAGCTCGCAGGGCGAGGGGGCGGCGCACGCCGGGCCGTTTGGCTACGGCGCCATGCACGCGATGGACGTGCCGGCTCACGGGCCCGGCACCGGTGCCGGCACCGCTGGCGGCGGTGGCAGCGGCGGTGGTGTGGACGCGGTCACGCGGGCGCCGCTGGCTCCGCATGCCGTACACGGACCGCAGCCGCAGCCACTACCGCAACAGCCGCCGACCAGTGGTGCCGTCGACATCTTGCCAGAGCCCTTTCCTGGTTTGGCGCAGCCAGGGTTTTCAGCTTTGGGCAGCGGGTGAGTGTAACTGTGTGTAACTGTGTGTGTGAGAGAGAGAGAGCCTCCTGGGCTGTGCCGACCTAACAGTGTCTTAGCGAGCTGTGAAACAGAGACCACAACCCTCCATCTTCTCCATTTAGTTTGTATGTGTGCATGTGTAGGCGTGACGCAGTGCTTAGCTCACTTCGCTACGAGACCCACCACCTGAGTTTGATTCCCGGCCATGGATCATATCAGTGGCGGGTTCATAACTGAACCCGTCTGGGGCCTTGTTTAGGTTGACTCAGCCTTGACTGAGTACGTGGTGAGGTGTGTGAACATCAGTCCACTCGTGTGCCGTACCGGCCTTGGGAGACACTGGCTAACACCACTTGCCTCAGTCGTCTGCGTGACTCGGTGGTGAGATGTTAACTACCTCGCCTGGCACACAGGAGGTCGTGAGTTCGATTCCGACTGTGACACCTGCATATTTGGAGTTTACATGTTCCCTATTTTTCCTGGTCTTCTGGTTTTAGAGTATTTGGCTGCTATATATTTCCACGTGATTAGCCACTTCGTTATGCTATAACATCGAATTGCTCCGTGGGCCTTACCTGGTAAAATAGAAATGGATGATATCTGTGATTGTTGCCGTGTATACGTTCATGTGCACGCCAACTTAGGTAACATCGCCGTCACTTAGCGGCGAGCGGTGGGTTATTCTTGTTGTTGACGACACCGCCTCCGCTGTTGTTGTTAACAATGCCGCCCGGTGGGTTATTCTTGTTGTTGATGACACCGCCTCCGCTGTTGTTTTTAACAATGCCGTCCGGTGGGTTATTCTTGTTGTTGATGACACCGCCTCCGCTGTTGTTGTTAACAATGCCGCCCGGTGGGTTATTCTTGTTGTTGATGACACCGCCTCCGCTGTTGTTGTTAACAATGCCGTCCGGTGGGTTATTCTTGTTGTTGATGACACCGCCTCCGCTGTTGTTTTTAACAATGCCGCCGTTGTTGTTGCCCACGCAGTGAGAAACGCGCCACGTTCAGCCCCGCGGCGGGCTGCAGCGTGGCGTCGCCCGCGTCACCCTGGAGCGGTTCACAGCCACCCGGCGGGGACGAGCGCTGCGAGAGCGACGGCCTCTCCTACAACCAGCGCAGCGCGCTCAAGTGGGAGCGCGACGAGGAGCTCGGGGAGATGGCCACCATCTCCGCGGTGCTCTACGCCAACATCAACTTCCCCGGTTTGCGGCACGAGTTCCCCGGTATGCTCAAGTCGACTTTGTTGACCCGCCCCATGCTGCACATCAGTTAACGCGTAGTGACGCCTAGCCCATTGACACCGTGTCCCGCTTTGACGCGACTTCTGCCTCCGGTGTGCCGCTTGCTGCGTTGTTGATGGCCTCCCGTGTTGTTGCGCCCCCCCCCCCCCTCCTCGCAGATTGGCCGACCCGCTCCAAGCAGATTGCGAAGCTGTGGCGCAAGGCGTCGACAGAAGAGCGCGCCCCCTATCTGGTGAGACGCCATCTCCCGGCGGCGACCTTCGTGTGTTGGTGTCATGCGGCGCTGACATGGCCTAGCGTGTATTGCGTAGTGTCGCTTGTTGCAGAGGATGTACGTATGTATGTTCTTTCACACCGTACGTAGCCTAACCGTGCTAATTGGAGGTGCACAGGTTTGTGGTTCGAGCCCCACGGCTGCCCTGGTCAATTCTGTGGTTTATTGGCGCACCTTTCGCCTCGCAGTGGACATGAACGATGCCGTGATCTTTTTCGAATAAGACTAGGCCAATTGTTCTGCCGTCACAGTCCACGTTTGTAAAAATTATCTCCACATTACTTAATCAGGTCGAATCAAAGCTCTCTCCTCTCAGACGATACCTGTATGTGAAACATGCCCTCGTGATTAGCCTATGCTACAAGAATTACGCAAATATCAATTGTATTATTGTTGTAAAAGCCACATTGCAAAATGCTCCTCAAATAGTTTTGAGTTTGTTTGCTAGTCTTGCCCCCAAAACCCTTTAGGACTCACTTTGGACAGATTTTCTTTAAAAAAAATATGACATTTGTGAGAGTTTTCGTCGCAGTCGGGGGAACAGCTCAGCCCACGAGCCCCTCAGAGTTGAATTAACAAGTGCCACCAAGTCAACCATGTTTAGATGCTGGCTTCTATCTACCGCGGCAATGTCGAAATTTCGTGTGGCATTTCCAATCACCGGTTCAGGTCCGCCAGCAGACAACAAGTGTGGCCGTGATGCTGCTTTAGCCATGGCAGACGCTTCCACCATTGTCATCACCACCACACGTGACTTTAGGTAGCGACGGGGTAGATCGTGATGTGTCTTGGCGGTGGCGCTGCGTCGCCGGTGCTGCGTCGTCGCCGACGCCGGTAGACCGCTGAGCGTTGTGGTTGTTGTTTCGTTGTCACAGCAAAAGGCCCGAGACAACCGTGCGGCGCTGCGTATCACGCGGGCACAGAGCGGCATCAGGCCTCCCCGCAAGAAGCAGCTGCCCGAGACGGTCGACCAGTTTAGCCCAACGGAGCCCGAGATCCCGGTACGCGGTCTCGTCTGTGTTCTCCCTCACGAGCGAAGGGCTTGTGGGATGATGTCCGGTTGTGAGTGGATATCTTCTTGTTGTGCGTTTGTGTGTGCGCATTTGCCTGGCTGTACAGTTTCTGAAAATGTTTCTGGGGGTTTTAGTTTGTTTCCAGCATTGTTTCAGATTGGGCCTATAGGACGACGCTACCCAGTTATCTTAATCAGCTATCCATTCATCTATCTATCTTCCTCACTACCAACGTATCCATTGATTAAAATCCCATCAGCCTGCTCTTACAACTACGCAGTTGTTGCGGAGGTTTGTTGTTCAAGCCTTGCGGCCACCCCGGTTAATTCTTCTGTGTGTGTTAATAATAAAATATTTTACGTCTGCTTTAGATTGGACGTTAGAGGTCCCGTGACATTATTCGAAAAGAGTAGGCCATGTGTGTACCATATGATACACGATTCGCGACAATCATAGAGTCCGTTTTGCAAAATGTCATCATGTAACTTACCCATTTATCCGTTCATCTGTTTGCCCATCCGTAGTATTATCCGTCGACTCAGTCTGATGATGTCCATGTGCGACAGGGGAAGGAACATCACAGGCTCAAGGAGGTCGAACAGGAGCATGAGTGGAAGCAGCGACAGGTCAGTGGTGTGGAAGGGATAATGGCGCACAGAAGGGGGGGGGGCATCTCGTGATATGAAATTGTAACGGCCTGCATGATTCTCATTGTAATCGAGCGCACTGCCACCCACTCGCCTTGACACGCTCACACGCGGTACGTGCACAAACGTACCCCAGGATTTTTCTGCCGATGCCATAATAAATCCGAGGAATCACGTGTCGGATGGTTGGCCCTAAAGGAAGATGCAGCCCAAAGTCCCAAAAAGGCAAATAGCTGTTACCTCGTAGATTCTTAACTCGGCTGTGAGTCCCGAGCAGCCAACATGACGATGAAGTCGATTTTAAAAGCTGTGTTTTATAAGTCAACGTGGCACACAAGTAGGGTTGCCGTGATATGGCGATTCCGCAATGTTCCGTGCGATATAAGGTCCACAACAGCCATATAGACTGGTTTGCTAAATATCATTATATCATGATTATCGTTTCTCATCTAATGTTTTAAAGCATTTTTGTTTCATGATGAAATACTTAAGAAATGACACGATAATTTAAGTTTTACATACATACCTTATTCGTATGTATTGGTGCTTTGCTAAATATTTTCCAGAGTAAGTGACGGCATGACGCCATCATTTTGTAGTTTTCTCATTTATGCAATTATTGCTTGTGTAATTGTAAAGTTGCAATGATTAGAAGACGTACGCCAGGTTATGTTAAATGAGAATTGCGGTTAAAGCACTCTGGATGTACTGCAAAGCGCAAAAACAATACAATAAAAACATGCTAAGTACTATTACATATCTATATAGGAAACTTGTTTCGTGATGATCAACATTTCATGAAAATTTTATATCGTATCGTGAAAATTGATATCGCGGCAACCCTGCACACTAGTGACGTCACTGTAACGTCGTGTGTCACTGTAACCCGTAGGTGTCAATACAGCGTCAATGCAGTGATGTCACTACAGCGCAATGGGTATGTATCGGAGCTATTTGTTTTTTGGTTGCATCTTCCTTTACAGAAATACTTTTAAAAGTCTTGAGTATATTCTATAACGGGTGGATGCTGTTGAAGTACTTTTTAAGCAGCAATAATTGTCTATGGAGAGGATAATAAGGTGCAAAATAATAATAAAGAATCACTCTAAACTTGTGTCGTAAGACCCTCCGCCACCCGACATGGCCAAACAAATTAAATTGTCATGTGTACAAGCGTCTAACACACCAATTATCATTTGTCTCGGCTCACCCGGTAAGTTAAAGAATAATGCTCACTAACCAAATTTCTAAATGTTCTTCAACTTACCCGGGTCTTTCAACAACAATATGGCCAGATCATTACGCGGCCGACCCAATAACCAATTGCGAATTATAACATTGACTCCGAAAACATACTACGTGTTAATTAAAGCAATGAAAGGGCACTTTAGTTTACCCAGGTTAACGTCGCTGAATCTCAAGACTTTTTAGGGCCCTTCATTAAGATGTTTTGGGGTCTGTTCTCTTTTATGAACATTTTGACACGTGGGAGAAAATTTACCCAGGGAAAAACCCACTCTTAAGAGGGGGAGGTAAGACTAATGTCCGCACAGATAGATTCAAAAATCCATCGCAGCACTGCCATCTCTTGCCGCTTCACGGCCCAAGTCAACAACAACTGGTATTCCCAGTTTCCCATCCACGTACGAATCGGGCTCATCCGTGCTTAGCTTACAAGATCTGACAAGATGGGATGAATTCACAGATGAGTCGGTCATAGAAAAATGGATTGATCGTGTTTGTTGTCCAGGTATAGCCAGTTGTGGGAATGTTGTCAGGTGATACAATTAGTTGGTAGTTTTTTGCCACTACAAAGACACGGATGTATTTTGTCTTTTAAAGCAATTCATGTACAGTATGTGCACTAAGGTTGCCACGATATGGCGATTCTATGTTATAACGTACGTTATAAGGTCCATGATAATGGTATCGTCCGTTTTGCAATATGTCGTGGTATTGTTATTCACTTTTGTTCATTTCATTTTTTCGTAAATATTTTGTTTCCCGAAATAACAAACACGGTGATGAAAGTTGTAAATAAATTTACAGCGTGGCAGTTATATGATGCCATTGTATTTCCAGCTCATGTAATTGTTTGATTACTTTTAGTGTAACAGACAATGTGGGATTTATATGCATTATAGGTTGGCATTGATTACAAAGACTTTACTGTAGGCGCATATGTTGATTGAATTGCAGTTAATGAACTGAAAGCAATATTCATTCACACTAGGAAGTATAGCAAAGCACACACAAGGAATGCAATAGAAATGTGAAATACAATTACAACATCACAGGAAACCGATATTGCAAGAACTTTAATATCCCATTGCACCTTAGCGTGCGAAACGATTTCGCGGCAATCGCAGCATAGACGCTCACGCGGTGCGCAATTATCGTCTCCGCTGCAGCAACTGCGTCTGCAGAGCAAGCAGCAGGCGAAGCTGGAGGCCACGCAGAAGCTGGAGCTCGCCAAGCAGGAGCAGCAGAAGATGAGCCTCCACGGGGAGGGCGCCGGCGACACGGAGGCGGATGGCGCAGCTACGGCGCCGGCCTCGGAATTCCCGGACGGCGAGAGCTTCCGCAGCCCCAGCGCCGCCAGCCAGGCCGAGCCGGCCCGCAGCCCCTTCGCTGGCGACGGTGGCGGTGGCGACGGCGTCGGCGGGGGGAAACTGGCGCCGTTCTCCCCGCGGCCGCTGTCCAACCCCAAGGGGCTGAGCCTGGACGACGTGTTCGTGAAGCCGCGAGCGCCGTCGCAGCCGCGCGCGCCCCTGCAGCCGCCGCCAGCGCACGAGGGCTTCCCGCAGGCCGTCGGGCGCCCCCACAACGAGCTCCCGCCGGAGTCGGGCTCTGGCTCCCGCCCAGCGTCGCCGTGGGACCCCTACCCTGGCGCGGCCGAGGCGCCTGCGTCCGCTCCCGGTGCCGCGACCGCGCCGACGACGACGGCGACGTCGGCGCCGACGCCGCCTTCCGCCGTCAGGAGACACTCGGCGCCGCACCTGGACCCGTACGGCAACCCTCCCGGCACACCGCGCCCCGTGGGGACGCTGCCGGTCGACTCCTACTTTGCGATGCCCAAGACGCCGCAGAGGAAGGAGGAACCCGCATTCCGGAGAGGGGCGGGCGAGCAGTCGCCCCGCGCCGCGGCACTGTGCGATCCATACGCTAAGGCGCCTGGCACCCCGCGGCCGTCGCCGATCGCCGAACCCTACTTCAGGGCCGCCGGGCCGCCCCGGCCGTTTGAGACATTCGCCGAGCCGCCTCTCCTGTCCTCCAGGCCGGACGAGCTGCCGCCGCAGCAGCAACAGCAGCAGCAGCAACAGATGTTCAAGGCGCCCTTCCCGGCGCCGCAACAGATGCCTTTGCCCGTCATGTCGCCCAGCGGTGTTCAGCAACCTCCACTCGGGCAGCCGTGCCAGCCGCCTATGGGCGGAGGATACGCGCCGTCGCCGTCCGCGATCCACGGGTCACCAGTCCGACGACCGCCCAGTGCCACCGAGCACTACGCGCAGCAGCAGCAGCAGACACTGCCCACGTCCCCCTACGGACAGGCGGCGGGCGCGCAGGGAACGCAGCCACCTGATCCATACGTGCAGGCACCCCACGCGCCACGGCCCCTTGTCACCTCCGACCCCTATGCTCAACCGCCGGGGACACCCCGGCCTCTCAGTTCCGACCCCTATGCACAGCCACCCCACACGCCAAGACCCTTGACCTCCGACCCTTACGCGCAGCCGCCAGGAACGCCGCGGCCCATGACCTCCGACCCTTACGCACAGCCGCCGGGAACGCCTCGGCCCATGACCTCCGACCCCTACGCACAACCTCCGGGGACTCCACGGCCCATGACCTCCGACCCCTACGCGCAACCTCCGGGGACGCCTCGGCCCATGACCTCCGACCCCTACGCGCAACCTCCGGGGACGCCGCGACCATTTGCGGCCAACCCCTACGCCCGCCAGCCGCAGTCGCAACCCGCGTTCGAAATGTACGGCGACGGGCAACCGGTGCCCGGCGCGCAGTTCGCACCGGCGGCTGGGGTGACGCGTCAAACGAACGTCGAGGGCAAGTACTCGCAAGCGGCCACCGCCCCTCCCCGAGAGATGTTCTCCCCGCCCACGACGCCGGGCGTCCAATCGCAGGCACAGGCCGCTGCCGCTGCCGCCGTGGAAGCGTTGGAAGCCGGCTCGCGCGACATGTTCACGCCGCCGCTGGCGCTTTCAGGCGATTCCGTTCAAATTCCCGGCCTCGCTTCGCCGACGACAACGCCCGGAGGGAGTGGTGCGAGGAGCCTGACGGCGGCAGTCTCCGCGGCGTTGGGGTCCGTCTCCGGCACGGGTCCCAGTGCGATGGAGATGGCACAGGCGAAGGCACGGGGCGGCTCGCCGTGCATGCCGAGCGCGGTGCACATGGCGCAGCAGCAGGGGATGGCGCCCACACGGCCTGACGTGCTCCCGCTGCAGGGGATTCTGGGACAGCATGGCGCGGTGGGTGATGTGGTATCTCTTGTGTTGTTGGGCTGACGTAGGTTGTGTAGTGGGTTTCACTGGAATGATCGGTACGTGGTGATAATGCTTGCTGTGACGATAGTAAAGATACTGGGGGCGCACCGAATAGTACTTTATACTATTTGACCGACAACATTACTTAGGTATTCTATGAATTTTTATTTGAAGCCGAATATTATATATATTTTTTTAAATTAGCTGCCATGTCTCTCTGTCTCCCTCTGTTACTTTCTCTTGTGTCTCTCAGTTGTCTCCCCTTTTCCATATGCTCGTGGTGGGGGTTATGCTCTGCACTGCTCTCCTCACGTCCCGCCCCTCCTCCGCCATGGGCTGTTGTGGTCATGTAATTGCTTTGGCCCTTGGTGCTCACTTTTGTATTCTTCATTCTATTTAGCCGAATACAAATACTAAACACACCGCTCGTATTTTGCCACATTCTGAAGGGCAGAGCATATATTCTGTGATGCCCTAGATTTCACGAATATGAAATCGGTGATTATGGTCATGCTTCGTGTGTCATGCTTCTTGTGAAAGATCGTGGTAATAATGAAATGTTAAACTTCTTTCACACCATACGTAGCCAACCGTGCTAATCAGAGTTGCGGGGGGATGGACAATGAAAAACAACTAAACACAAAAAGCAATTCTAAAGAAATGTTTTCAATCTAGATAAATCTAGATTGATAGATACATCGAGATTAGCGATGCTGACTTTGCAGTCTTAACGATTAACAGGCGGCACCGATAGCGCTAGCGGCGATTCGTGAAACGTGTGCCGTTGTTTTACAGCAGAGGCCGCAGCCTCAGGGCGCCGGTCCGCAGGAGACAGGGGATGCCGGGAGGTGCCGGGGTGATGTTCTGGTCATCGGACACCACCTCCCCTCAAGGACAGCCCATGAACAAGCCTCCTCCACCTTACCCGGTACAGCAGGTGAGATTCCCGCATAGCCAGTGCCCGAGGTGCGGGATAGCCTTGCTCTCTCGCACCTTGGCATGAGAACAAAGTTGAGAGCCCGAATCGACCCAAGAGGGCTTTTAAGCGAGACTAAAAGTGTTTTCCTTGATTTATCCTGGAAGAATCCGATGAGCTTATGGAGCTATTTTTTCACGGATGTCCTGTAGGGGCAGGTCAGAGAGAGTTACAGCAACAAAGGATACCAAAGCTGAGTGCAAAATAGAGAAAAGTCACAAAAAATTAAGAAATAAATATACATAGTTTCTAAGTGCAAATTGCACAAGTACATATATTCCTGCCGATTTGTCAACACCAAAAGCAAGCCTTGGGGCAATGCAGGAAAACAACAACAAACACTGTCCTGAACCACACCAAGACAACGCACGGTCCCCCAATTACATTGCACATTCAAATTGGATATGTCAGTCATTTAACACTGGTGTATATACGTACAGGTGGAGTAAGGTGCATGCTTGGAATTGCATTGAGAAATAGAAAGGGGAACAGATGGAGTGAAGCATGTCAAAGCGGAGATGTCATTGTTGACCGTTTAGAAAAGCGGGGAGTGGGTTTTGAGGGAGCACATGTCGTTATAAGAGAATTGATGACCGCAGTTAGAGACTTAACGATGGATTGGCAACCAGGGCAGGGAACACTGCCCCTGAGAGTCGGTGTGCCGTGGAGATGGAACGATTTAATCATCTTGCGCAGGCGCTCAATGGATTTTTGCACCGCAAGGTGCGAGAAATGGCAGCGGCTTTGGGGAGGTCTGGCTATTGATCATTCAGTCGTATACTCGCCTACAAGCCCGTCCAAGGACGGGTGTATGGCAGTAAATCTGAAACATTCAAGCGAAAAGCCGACCGCGACGTGATATTCATTGCATCCATTCGTGTGCAATTTGTAGGGCCGCGGTGACACAGACCTATTTCATTTAAAGGTTATAATCCCTTGTTCATCATGACGGAGATTGCGTGTTGTGAGGGTTCTTCCTTTGTAGTGTGGGTTGTAAGGGGGAGGAGGCGCCCCCCCCCCCACCCCCATGTCGAGTGACATTACCTGCTCATGATTATTAATGAGGGGGGGGGGTTCATTTGGAGGACGTCACCTGGTCATGATTGTTAATGAGGGAAGCTGTTCGATGTGGAGTGCCGTCACTTGCGCATGATTTTTAATCCGGGGGTCGGGGGGTTGGGTGATCCATGTGGAGTGACGTCACCCCCTCATGGTTATTGGGGAGGCATGTGGAGTGACGTCACGCGCGTTACACACAAATAGACATTCTTGGCTCATTATATTAGTTATTGACCACGCGCTGATATTTTCGATTGATTTGGTGAATATCTTCAGTTCTGGGGTTTCTCAACTTGTGTAAAGATCATAGGTAGTACATAGTCCACCATGAACACCATACTTTGCTCCTGTGTTTGGTTTCTAATAAAAATGAACGCATGCTCGTTGAACCCATACCGTACAACAAAACATTACTCCGAGCAAGTGCTGTGACCGACCTGACGGACGATTGAACTTCCTTGCATACTTAGAACATCATCGTGCGTCGTATTTACTGCCGTGGTGTCTGTGCCATGCAGGGCACAATGCCGGGCTTCCGCAACCAGCAGCTCATGTTCAGCCAGGTTCCTGGCCGGTTCATGCCGGGCGTCGCCGGGGGCAGCCCCCGCTCCCCGTTCCCCAGCCCGGAGAGCCCGGGGGGACTCACGGCGGATGCCGCTCATCTCAGACAGAGGTGACAGTTTGGCGACGACCCCGCGCCTGTCCGTGTGTTCCATGTGTCCGTGTGTCTGTGTGTCCGTGAGTCCGTGAGTCCGTGAGTCCGTGAGTCCGTGTGTCCGTGTGTCCGTGTGCCCGTGTGCCCGTGTGCCCGTGTGCCCGTGAGTCCGTGAGTCCGTGAGTCCGTGTGTCCGTGTGTCCGTGTGTCCGTGTGTCCGTGAGTCCGTGTGTCCGTGTGTCCGTGTGTCCGTGTGTCCGTGTGTCCGTGTGTCCGTGTGTCCGTGTGTCCGTGTGTCCGTGTGTCTGTGTGTCTGTGTGTCTGTGAGTTTTGGGAGCGGTGCCGCAGTGGTTGGCGCGCGGGGTTACGGACCCGCCGACACGAGTTGGGATATCTGGCCGCGGCAGCCAACATGGCTGTGCAAGTGTTATCTATTCGGCACTGGGCCTTTCTTCGGTCAACTCATGTTCACAAGTTAATGATGTGGGGAGATCAAGGCGGCTTGGACGTGGTCCTGGACACACCTTTTGTGCACCTTGGCACCCTTATAAGTGAATTGCTAAGAGCACCTGCCCAAAGTCTATAAAGAGTTGTTTTGTGGGGAAATGGGGAGTTTTGGTGGTTTGTGCACGTACAAATGTTGCACTGAGCACAATGTGAACAAAACCACACAAATTAGATGTAACAACTGATGAGCAATACCAACAAGATGATAAAAACGCATCAAAATGAATTAAATTCTTGAATAGAATCGTGACCCCTGGATGGTGACATCATGAAATTGCTGTGGGGGGGGTGGTGGGAGTATTCGGGTCTGGGTGGGTGACGCCGTTTTAGGCCGATCTGTCGGCTAACGCCTTGTCGCGTGGCACTTGCAGGGTCGCCGGCTCTGCGGAGATGGCCTACTATACCACGCGCGTGGGCGGCTTCCCAAGCCCCCAGGCCGCTCAGCAGTCGCCCTCGAGCCTGGCACCGCGCTTCCCGGGGGAGGCCAGCAGCCTACGGCGCTCCATCTCGCTGGACATGAGCAGCCCCGCGTCCCACTCTGCCCCTCCGGCCCCACCCACGGGAATGCCGGGGGCGGCGGCGCCGCCCGCCAACGGGCAGATGGCCCGACCTCCCGTCGCCTTCCAGCCGCACGGCATCGCAGGCCAGATCATGCACCAGGGCCAGTACTACATCGAGCTGAGGCACAACCCGGCCATGCGGCCTCGCCTGCACTTTGGCGGCGGTGGCGTCGGCGTCGCTCCTGCCGAGATGCAGCAGAGGGCTGAGCAGCAGCAGCACCACCAGCAGCTTCAGCAACACCAACCGCAGCAGAACTGTCTCCCAGTCCCGGCACAAGAGCCCGTTGCGCAGACATGCGCCGACCAAAGCCTGGCGCCGTTCATTCCCAAGCCGTGCCTCACCACCATCGCTGGCACTGGTGGGGTTATTGGAGGTGTCCAGCAACAGCAGCCGCTGCCACCAATGCAGCAGCACCACCAGCAGCAACAGCAGCCGCCCCAGGCTTCTCCGCTTGCAACGTCGACGGCGGCGGCGCTGGCGGCCGAGCCCTGCACGGACGACAAGCTTCCGGAGATGGTTCCAGCGGGCGGCGCCGAGATGGACGAGGCGCTGGCTGCCCACAAGGCGCTGGAGGACGACGTGGACCTCGCCAACCTGAACCTCGACCCCGTGGACGGCAAGGGCGCTGGCGACCTGGACACGCTCGACCACCTGGAGACCAACGACCCGCACCTCGACGACCTCCTTAAGGCTGGCGAGTTCGACATCCTGGCCTACACGGACCCAGAGTTGGACCTGGCTGACAAGAAGGACATGTTCAATGACCTGGCCCTCGCCGACCCGCTAGAGGACAGGATGGATGAGCACAAAAAGCCGGTCGACAAGGAGGAGGAGGAGCAAGAGGGTGGATTGGCGGCGGGGTCGAGGACTGCAGCAAGCGAGCAAATGGCGCAAGCGGCGGTGGATCGCGAATCCGACGAGAAGACGTCGCCCGACCCCGCGCGTACAGCAACCGGCGTGAAGGCGCCGACGCCGCAAGCGCAAGTTGCGGCGTCAAAAGAGTCGCAGGCGGCCAACATCGAGATGGTGGAAGCGCAGAACAAGAGCAGCGGCAGTGCCGTCACTCCCACCGAACCAGCAAGCGTGCCGGAGAGCGAGAAGGCTCGAACCCCTGATACGGCTGCGAGTGGCGACCGTGCAGAAGATGCCAACCCCGTGAAGCAGGAGCCTGGCACGGCCACGGAGAAGTCGCAGGAGGCGGCGCCCGACGCTCTCCCACGAAGCTCCGAGGCTGTCGCGCCAGCTGAGAAGGCCGAGGGAGCGGAGGCGGCGCCGGAGTCCGCGGGAGACGCGGCCGGACAGGCGGAGACGGTTGCTCCCAAAGACGAGCCAGAATCCGGCAAGGGTGGCGAGCAGGTCGGGGCGCAGCCAGATTTGGCCTCTCAGCGACAGCAAGGATTCTTTGCGAATTTAGGTGAGTGCCGGGGATTTGTGTGTTTGAAACGTTGAGTGTGTGGGATGTGTGATCGATGCCAGGATTGTGTATGTGTGTGTGTGAGATAATCTGTGTGAGGTGTTGGGTGTGCTCATGGTTGCTGTGTGTGTATTTGGTTGACCCTCTGTTTTGCCAGGATTGTTTGGGTATGTCTGAGATTGATTGTGAAAAGGTAAATGTTTGTGTGAGTGAAATTCTTGGTGTGCTTATGTCTGTGTGCAAAAAGCAGTGTTGTTTATGCTGAGTGGTGTGTCCATGAGATATCAGATGTGCCTTTTGGTACATGTGTGTATGTGAGATGTGCTGGGTAAAAAGTGACATTGAATACATTTTTCTGACAATACAGGAATTTTGATAGGTGAAGCTTCAGATGAATGTACATACAGAGTAACATAATATTTCAAGCAGCTATGTTTACCATTTCTAGAAATACAACATTGGAATACCATTCATCTAGAATGACAATTCAGATGAAATCCCAGTGATGAGAACATATCCTAGTTAAAAATGTGGCATTGTCTCCCATTGAAATCAGTTGGGGAAAATTGTCTCCGACAGAGGGGGAGAGTGATCCCAGTGAAACTACAGGGTGCTTTGTCTCCAGGCTGCCATAGGCGAGCGTAACCCTACCCGGGCTTTCTTTGCCCTGACCACGGAGAAACATGTCTCCTCCGATCACCCGTGCCAATATCATTGACCACACGCAACCCTGCTCAACTTCCGCACTTATATATAAACATGCTCCGTCTCTCTCTTTGCGCTTCCCCTCCCGAAGATTTTGACAAGTTCGCCACCGATGATATAACAGACCCCATAGCCAAGGCCAAGATGGTTGTGCTGAAAGGCATCAACAAAGTCATGTCGCAGGGCTCCATCGGCGGGCCGTCCATCAACGTCGCCAACAGGTGGGCGGCACCCTGTTGTGTCGATGTGTGTGTGTGTGTGGTCAAAGCAGCGCTGCGTAACTTTGTAACGTGAGTCGCGCACACGGGGAGAGCTGCGGCGTGTCACACTCGCCCGCCTGTAGGGCGTTGCTTTTTTTTTTTAAATCCTTTATATTAAGTTCACTTGCTTGCTTGCGCGCTTACGACCGTGCAAATCTTTCGGTCGTTTTTTAATCCACTTCCCGTGATCCAATCGAGCTGACATTTTGCACACAGAATCGTTGTGCGTGACAATTTATTTTCGTGAAAAAAATTTTCCTAAATTTTACACTTTTTAGGAAAAAATTAATTATATTTAATTACCAATTGCTTAATTGTGGCAGGCAATCATCTGACCCATAGGTGGCAGCCATCTCAAGCCAGAGGACGGGAGGACTCGAGCCGCCATGCATATAAATAATTTATAGTGAAAAACTTTGTTTTTACGGGTTAATTTTTTTTGGCTGCTTCCTGGTGTTGCTGCAAAGGCATGTGGCTAAGAAATTTGGCACGTGGTTGTCGCGCCGTCAGAAGAACGTTTCCGGATAAAAACTCCACAGAACCGCTTCAGTGCTTTGTTCTTAAATTTACCTCTCCCCGCCAACACCAGATGTTGCTCTTTAGCGGCTAGTTCACTGCATGTCAAATCATATTCGTCAATTTACTCTTGAGCAGAGTTGGCCCCGATTTAAGTGAGAATACGATTCTCGTAAGAGTCATTATTCAGTACAGCCATTAGCCAAGACCTTCAGACATGCGAGAGGTGATCAGATTCTAGCAGCGTATCGCCCTGTGTCGGAGCGAGGCAGATGACAGTCCTGAAGTGACTGCAAGAGAGAGACTCCTGTATCCAAAACAAGGGAAAGGGTCGTACTTAATGCCCTGCAAAGGTTCTTATTGAGCATACCAATTTGTATTTCAGTGACAACCCATACATGATGATAATTTTTTATGCAGAAACTGAGCTGTAACCACCAAATCACTATTTTTAGAACCTGATTTAAGCACACATGACTGGTTTGCATTGGATTTGACGCACTCAGCGGCGCCAGCTCACTGCTTGTGACCGCCCCGACCCACCCGGCCACTTCTGTGCGACGAGTTGAAGCCGCATGCGTGCTGTGCGTGTGTTTTTGTTCAGATCCGTGTTCCCAGGGGAGGCTGCCTCTGGCTCTCCAGGCCCGCAGCAGGGCATGCACACCTACCAGGTAAAGCATGCAAAGAGTTCAGTGCCCTCCATCTGTCCGATCATTACAGATTTTGTTTTGCGTTGCGGGGAAAATTATTTCGAGTGACGAATTGCCACTAATTGCCGCGACTTACCTGTCAGGAAAGCCTGCAGTGCTGGCAGTCATCAATTTCTGAATCTTGTCATCGATAGCGCTTTGGACCAGATGACCTGGGATGCGCCAGATGTCAGGAGATATGGAGGGGTTGAGCTTCAATGTTGCTTTGTTGGGCCACTGCGATGCATAACAGACTGTCGGGTGAAAGAGTGGGCAGCAGAGTGCAATGCAGCAAATGTAATTAGTTCTTTGTGATATTGTGCTCCCAAGTCTATGCTCCCCGCATTCACCAACATGCATCAACCGGCGTGGTCAGATAACCGCTGCAACCTGCATAGCATGGGAAAGGCCCTAATCCAGCAGTGGATTGACAAAAGGGGCTGTCACATTGTAGTGAGGTGCCCGCCCGACGACTCGGTGGGGGAACAGAAAAGCTCGCGAAGGTTTTTCACAAACCATTCAGTGAATGGCGAGACATCCTAAAGCAGGGAGGAGCTATCCTGCATGGCACTCGGCAAGGCCTTGGTGGGTAAATGAATGACTTTGATTCACCACTGATGGGAGCATCCTCTGGTCCTGTGTGCGCCGCCGCAGCAGCAGGAGGAGAATGGGCCCGGAGTGCTGCCAGTGTCCAGACCGGCGCCTCCCGCTTCCGACCACGGCGTCATGAGTGAGTCTTGCCCTCCTCACCACCGCCGCTTCGCCTGCACCCGCACGTTAACTCACCGCACGAGTGACAATATGCATTCCATACAGTTAATGTGTGTGTATATATATGGGTGGGTGGCACTGTTGTTTGAGCAATTGGCTCACAATCAATAGGCCATGGATTCAAATTCAAGTCAAATCCAAGGCCAGCTCAGCCCGTCACCGCTCGAGGTCTACAGGATAAGTACCGCTTTGTGGGAAGTCAACAATGGAGTCTTTGCAAGCTACACAGGGTTTGGCATGGTTACTAGTAAACATACACACGTTAGCGACATCATATCGACTGTTAAGAACGGTAAGTGGGCGTGGGCAGGACACATCGCTAGAAGGTTTGATGGCTCGTGGTCAAGACTAATGCAAGATTGGCAGCCCAAAGGAGGGAACACGCCCGAGAAAATGTGAAGACGGAGCAATGACATTGTCAAATGTAGATAGGGAGGCCTTCAATGTGGCTTGTTACAACGGCGGTCATGGGTATTGCAACATGATATCAGGTCCTCCGCCTGTATCGTCAACGACCACTGCCACATCACCACCACGTCTGCTCCTCACCCCCCCCCCTCCCCTCTTTAGAGGATGACGAGCGGCAGGCGTACGAGGAGTGGCTGCTGCACACCAAGACGCTGCTGGGGATGCAGCACCGCGCGCTCGAGGAGCAGGTGGGCGCGCACCGCAAGTCCAAAAAGGCGCTGTCGGCCAAGCAGCGCACGGCCAAGAAGGCGGGACGTGAGCTCGCCGACGCAGACGCCGAGCAGCTGAAGCACGTCACCGAGCGCCAGTGCCTCGTGCAAAAGCAACTGCAGCAGGTGGGTGCTGGTGCCGGCGGTCAGTAGGATGGGGGCGGGCGGACGATTGTGTGGGTGGATGTGCGATTGGGTGGGTTGGGTTCATGGGGGCGCGGGCGGATGATTGGGTGGATGGGGGGGGGGGCTGGCGGGCAGACGATTGGGTAGGTGGGTGGGTGGGAGGCGGACGATTGGGTGGGCGATTGGTGTGTTGCGTGCGTGGACTGAAGATCTTGTTTTTTTAAATGTCATCTTTTTTTTCCCCCTCCCAAGTTTATCCCAATCTGTGCTATTGGTGGATCTCCTGCAGAACAATGTTGATTCTTCACGTGAGAAAACAGTTCCCGGAAGTAGATATCACAGAGCTACTACTAAGATCCCTTCTGATATAATTATATCTTATTTAACGCATTACCACTGCAGTGGTGTCACTATGAAAGTATCTTCAAAGTTTTTGCCAAGAACAATGCTTATACAGTAAATGGTTTTGGAGAGCCCATGACACATGGCCTTGCATACGTGTTCACAAGATCAAAGGTTGTTTTCGTTTTGGATTACGTCTTCGTTTTGTTTGGGGATGAATCAACCAGATTTGTGAGTGCAGGGTAAAGTTGCTCTGAGCGGGGGCGGCCAGTAACGTCGGTTGTTTTCGCTGCAGTTATTTCGAGTGACTTTTTACGTCTCCCTTCTGCCCTCTTGCAGGTCAAGAAGCAGCAGAAGGAGCATGAGGATCTCATCGAAGAGTATCGCACAAAGCAACAGCACTGCACAGGGACACAGGCGGCTGGGCTGAGCCACACGGCCGCGTCGCCCTTCAACGCTCAGCCTGCAGGCGCTGCTGGTCCACTGCCTGGAGGTCACGTGACCCACAATGTCGGCGTTATGTCGCAGCAGCAACAGCAGCAGCAACAACACCATCACCTTCAGCAGCAGCCCCAACAGGTCGTGGGCATGATGCATCAGGGGCAGCAGCAGCAAGGATCTCCCATGATGCATCAGGGTCAGCAGCAACAAGGATCACCTATGATGCATCAGGGTCAGCAGCAGCAAGGATCTCCCATGATTCATCAGGGTCAGCAGCAGCAAGGATCTCCCATGATTCATCAGGGTCAGCAGCAGCAAGGATCACCCATGATGCATCAGGGTCAGCAGCAGCAGCAAGGATCACCCATGATGCAGCAGGGAAGTACCATGATGCATCAGAACCAGCAACAAGGATCTCCCATGATGCAGCAAGGAAGTACCATGATGCATCAGAGCCCGCAGCAGGGCTCTCCCATGATGCATCAGAGTCCGCAGCAGGGGTCTCCCATGGTGCATCAGAATCATCAACAAGGTATTCCCATAATGCACCAGAATCAGCAGATGCATCAAATTCGCCAGCAGCAGCCCGCCACTCCTGCAATGCATCAGGCTTTGCAGAAAGAAACTCCCATGATGCACCAAAATCGCACACAGGGAAATATGATGCTTCAGCCTCAGCAGCAAACAACTCCCATGATGCATCAGGCTCAACAACCATCAGCTCCCATGATGCATCAGGCTCAACAACCATCAGCTCCCATGATGCATCAGTCTCAACAGCAAGGAACTCCCATGATGCATCAGGCCCAACAGCAATCGACTCCCATGATGCATCAGGCCCAACAGCAATCGACTCCCATGATGCATCAGGCTCAACAGCAGTCAACTCCCATGATGCATCAGGCTCAACAGCCAGGTACTTCCATAATGCAGCAGGGTCAACAACCAGCCACTCCCATGATGCATCAGGCTCAGAGCCAACAGCAGCATCAAGTGCCACAGACAATCCCACCACACAACCAAGGCGCCTCCACTATGCATCAGAATCAGACGCCGCAAGGCTCTCCCATGATGCATCAGGCACAACAGCAACACCAGAATTCCTCTGTTGCTGCTCAGCAGCAGAACTCTGTGCAACCCATGATGCAGCAGGCTCAACACAACCAGGGCCCTCCCATGATGCACCAAGCCCAGCGGCATCAGGACTTGCTGACGTTGCATCAGAATCAGCAGGTACAGAGGTCTCCCATGATGATTCAGCCTCAACAGCAGCAGCAACAGCAGCAGCAATCTGTGCCGGCGTTGCCGCAGCATAACCAAGTAGCTACCACAATGCAGCAGGGTCATCCGCAGCAAACGGCCAGTATGATGCATCAGAATCTGCAGCAGAGGGCTCCCGTTTTGCAGCAAGGAATTCATATGATGCCCCCCCAGGTCCAACGGCCAGGCATGTCAACAATGCACCAGGTTAAGCAGCTTGATACTTCCATGATGCATCAGGTGCAGCACCAGGGGATGCCCGCAATGCATCCTGGTCAGCAGCAAGGAGTTCCCGCGATGCATCAGGGGCAGCCGCAAGGGGCGACCGTGATGCAGCAGGGTCAACATCAAGGAATGGCCGTAATGCAGCAGGGTCAACAGAGGTTTCCCATGATGCATCAGGCACAGCAGCAACAGGCAGCTTCCTTGATGCAGCAGCAGCAGCAACAAAGGTTTTCTATGATTCACCAGGTGCAGCAGCAACAACAGCAGCAGCAGCAAAGTCAGACACACCCTTCCATGATGATGCATCACCCGCAGCAACAAGGTGCTTCCGCCATGCAGCAGAGCCAGCAGCAGAGGTTCCCCATGATGCAGCAAGCGCAGCAACAGCAACAGCTGCAGCAGCAGCAAGGAGTTCCCATGATGCAGCAGGCACAGGCGGCAATGCCCCAGGGCCATCACGGAGCGGCCATGATGCACCAGCAGCAAGCAGGTGTTGTCATGATGCACCAGACGCAGCAGCAGCAGCAGAGGCTGACCATGGCTTCTCCGTCACAGCAAAACCTTGCCATGCTCCCCCAACAGCAGCAGCAGCAGCAGCAAATTCGTATTGCCATGATGACACAGCCCAGGCAGCGGATGGGACTACCTATGATGCAGCAGCAGCAGCACCAACAGCAGCAGGGAACGCCAGCAGTGCCACAGCAGAGCAGTACGCACGTGCCGCTCACGTGGACCACGGCGCAAGGTGCTGGGCCAAACCGCCCCTTTGTCTTCCTGAGGATGAGGCTACCGAACAGCGGTGGTGGCGGTAACGTGCAGCAGCAACAACAGCTGGGCCAGCCAGCGCCGCTGGGAGTGAGCGGCGATGCGCCGGGCCAGCCCACGTCAGCCTCGCCACAGATGCCCGAGGGCTTCCAGGATTCCAACGCGCAGCTCATGCAGCAGAACTTTGGCAGGCAAAGAATGGTGGGACCAGCACCGGCGAACACCTTGGTAATGCCTCACCAAACAATGCAGGTGCAGACGTTTTCTCTGCAGCAGCAGCAGCAACATCAGCAGCAGCAACACCCTGGGCACCTTCGTAAATTGGACTTCATGATGTCGCCCTCGCACAATCCATCGTACGCTCAGGATCCGGCTCAGGCCTCCGCAACCGCTGGTGACGCTTCTGGAAACCCCGGGGCCGGCAGCATGGGGCTGATGCCTGGACCGACACCGCCGCAAATGCGGCAGACGTCCCCTTCGGGAGCGGCGCCGCAGTCTGCCGCCGCGTTCACCCCCTTTGACGGCAAGCCCAGGATGCACCAGCTGTCGCCCGTGTACGCCGGGGCAGTCTCGCCGCTCATCCAGCTCTACTCGGACATGATCCCCGACGAGAAGGGCAAGAAGCGGAAGGTCCGCAAGAAGACGGCGGGCGGCGGCGACCCGGCGACGGAGCCCTCGACGCCGGTCTCTGAGCTGCCGGAGCTGCACTTCTCCAGCGTCCCGTCGACGCCGACGCGCCCAGACCTGCAGTCGCCGTGGGAGGGCAGGAAGGAGTTCGACCGGACGGCGACGCAGTACAGGGCGGGCGAGACGGCGTCGGCCGACGGCGTCCGTCGCCCGAGCCTGACGCCGGACGGCGGCGGCGCGTACTCGCTCAAGGGCGGGACCGTCAAGACGGAGGTGCCGGCGGCGGGGGCGATGGTGGGCGGCGCCGCGCAGTGCTTCGACGGTGCCGACGGAGGAGGGGTTGCGTTGATGGGCCCGGGCGGCCTGGCCAACTCACACGGGTCTGGGCCGGACGGCGCTCTTACGCAGAACCCCCGGGTGGACCTGGGCCACCAGCTGCTCAAGAAGCTGCTGCAGACGAGGAATCCCGCGCTGGTGTCGGCTCAGGCCAGCCTGGGCACCGAAGACAAGGAGCACGTGATGTCGCAGGCTCAGCAGCAGATGTGCGCCATGCCCAGATACGTCGAGGTGAGATTCACGATTCGTGTCGGAATCTATCTACGGTGTGTGTAAATGCTGTCCTATAACCGGGGGGGGCGGGGGGCATGCTGGAAAGGGGTGAGAGTTGGTGCCTTCGTGCCACCTGAAAATGTGTCATGCATCACATTCTCACGCATTAGAAATATTCACACGGTCACGCGCGCACACAAGAATACCCGGCAAGTGCCCGCACACGTAATTAGTAACTACCCCTCCTTCCACATACAATGGTAATTATCCTATTTGCGATGTGTTGCAATTACAATGTAAATAGTAACTTCGACTTACAATGTATTTGTAATTTTCATATAATTGACCCCATGTCTGACATTTGCACTCCCCCAGTGGGGAGCGGTAATGTAACAGCACGCCGCGCCACCAACCCAGCGACCCGAGTTCAATTCCCGCTCACGGCCATCACCAGTAACGATTATATGAACTGGTCCTGGGCCTCCCCAGTTCAACTCAGCCTCAAATGAGGACCTGGTGTGTAACCATTTCCACCTGGGAGACAAAGGCGGCCGTGCATGGTGCTGGCTACCCACCCCCTCGTGTGCTGTGTCAGCCTTCATATGCGCTCGCTAACAGCACTTGCCCCAACAGTCTGTTGCAGGCTATATGGGGGGGAATCTTTTGTCTTTGGTACGACCCGGTCCGCGTGCTCCGCAGGCGTCCGTCACCGGCGGGGTCCACCTCAACGTGAAGATGGGTGGCGCCGGGGACACCGACTGCGACGCTGCCAAGAGGCAGCTGGAGCTGAAGGGGAAGCGCGTTGGGCACCGGGGCGCCGACTCGCCCATCCGCAAGCGCAAGAAGACTGAGGACGACCACAAGGACATCGGCATCGGCAAAGATGCCATCATCCGGCAGCTGCAGCAGGTGCTGGCCGCGCCACCACGCCGAACCCCTTTCCATGACCCACCAACCCAGCGAATAATTCGAGGCTTGAATAATTGCTCGTTGCATTGAAGTATTTCTTGAATTGTGTCGCCAGTGTGGCTATAAAGCCGGCTCCACGCCTGTGTGTTTCAGTTTGCGTAGCTTGGCAGGACCCAGCTGAATCGCTTGTAGATGGACGACACTTATGTTTATCTACATTATCCGCTTCACTGACAGTTTCCGGCAGATCGTTCAATTGACGTTGGAGCTGGACTGCTTAAGCAACGCCCGGCCAAAGTGACCGCCTCTCCACCCAAACCGTACCCCCCGTCCCCCACCCCGTAACGAGGCAGGGCTGGCGCTGACATGGGACGGTTTGTTACTGCCTCTGGCCCACAGCTCCCGCTGCTGCCTCTCATGGAGCCGGTGATCAAGGTGAACTACGAGCTGTTCGCACCGTTCGGCAGCAGGCCGCCTCAACGGGGCCTGCACTCAGCTGCGTGGCGCCTACGGTAGCGCCCTGCTGGAAGGCGCCACCGACTACTACACGCAGCTCCTGTGCGAGGTGCGGCACGCTCCCGTTGACAGCGTGCGGAAGCGCTCGACGATGTTTTATCTTCATCCTCCGATCGTCCTCGTGCAGCCATCCATAGTCGTCCAACCATCTTTGTCCAACTCACCGTTACCTCTTGGTCCGCCCGTGCTACCGTGATCGCCTTCCCGTCGTCATCATCCTCGTCGTCTTTTGCGTATCCTCCTCTCAACGTCATTTATTGATTGTATTCATTTGTCTGCCGTCCAACTTTTAACCCTTTCGTCGTTTCTGTCCTGTCCTGGTCTCGGTATGTTAATTATCGTTGTCATTCTCCCATTCGCCTGCTCCCTCTCTCCTCCGCCACCTTTCCGCCATCTTTCCTGTCACTCTGTCAACGCCCTCTTTCTTTTTTTCCTTTTCTCCCCTTGTTCTGCTGTTCCACCTCCACTTTTACCTCCCATGACCCTCTATCTACTCGCCTCCTGTCATGATCCATTTATTCGAATCAACTAGCACCACCTCTTCCTCCCATCATCATCTTCATGTTCCACCACCACCACCTACTGTCAATGTTTTTTTTGACATTAGCTTCCTCCTGCATCTCTCTTTGTTAATCCACCTCCTCATTCCCTGCTGTTCTGCTTCTAACCCTGCCCGCACCTCCTTCGTGTGTCATGGACGACCTGAATATGCGTTCCACCGGTGAGAAAAGATTGGACTTTAGATCTCCCGTGTGTTTTTGTGTGTGTGTGCGTGAATGTGTGTGTGTATGTGCGTACGTGTTCGCGTGCACGCACGCCTCCCCTCACCTCCCCGCACAGAAGAACGTCAGTGACCCTCCGACTCCGCCACTGTCACTGCCCCCGACTCCGCCGCCCGGGACCCGAGTCAAACTCCTCAACGGGTTCGCGTCCAGTGAGGAGGTTCCGTCCAAGCGCGGTGGCTTCCTGGGTCCCGAAGGTGAGGACCCCCACCCCTTGCCCCCCCCCTCCCCCCCAGTCCCACCCCCCCCTCCCTCCCCGTGTGTACGCAGACACTTGCAGTCACGCGTGTGCCCGCTGTGTTTGACAGGTGCACGTTCACTCGTATTTGCTTACTGGGGGCTCTTCAATGGTCAGGAGCGACCAAATAAGGTTTAGGTTCGTTTTGTCACAGGTTAAACCCATTGGGCAATTAATATGCATCATGGACCTATCTACGATTCGTACAAGTCTATGTATATATGTATGTTGAGCTTTTTTAAGCACCGTACGTAGCCAACCATGCTAATCAGAGGTGCGCGGGGGGAAGGACAAACAAGAACACAAAAAGAAGGCTGATCACTGCTGCCGGTCACCGCTGCGTTGTGCATGCGTCTCTCTCCGTGCATCAGTGGCTGCGCTGGAGCTGAGCCGTTTCCAGGGAGCGCCGGCGTCACCGTCTCGCGCCGTGGCGCCGCTGCTCACGGGGCTGGACGCCCGCGCAGCCGTGGCGCCGCACTGCGTGGACGTGCCCGCCTCCCTCCCCACGCCGCCACACAGCCACCCCGAGGACGGCCGGTACGGCGGACCAGCTCGCTCACTCACTTGCTCAATGACTCGCTCAATAACTCGCTCACTCACTAACTCGCTCCACTCACTCACTCGCTCAATGACTCGCTCGCTCACTCAATGACTCGCTCACTCACTCGCTCGCTCGCTCGCTCACTCGCTCACTCACTCACTCGCTCGCTCGCTCAATGACTCGCTCACTCACTCACTCGATCAATGACTCGCTCACTCACTCGCTCACTCGCTCAATGACTCGCTCGCTTTGTCTCAGTGTAAATCCCTCCATGGTCTTGCCCCCACCTTATCTTGCTGTTCTCGTCCCTTCCTACCCCGTCCCGTCCCGTCCTCTACGCTCCCAGTCGCCGCTGTCCCTCTCTGTGCCTCCATCGTCACGCTGTGCCCAGTCTCGCGCTCTCAGAGCAATCTTCGCTAATCTGCTTTCGTTCCTCCTGCAAAATAACCCCCATCTCTTTATACTGCTACCATATGTATGTATGTTGAACTTCTTTCTCACCGTACATAGCCAAACCTTGCTTATCGGAGGTGTTGGTGCCGTGCCAGCCTTCATTAGGTGCTACTCGCTGACAGCAGTTGCCTCAACAGTCTGTTAAAGGCTCAACGGGGGAACTTTGTGCGTGCGTGCGCGTGCCTGCCCAGGCTGCTGCCGGAGCCTCGCGAGGGCCGTGAGTCACCCGACGGCGCGGTGCGGGCGTCGTCGCCCGACAGCGTGGTGCCGGCGTCGTCGCCCGACAGCGTGCTGGGACCCGACGAGCCGTCGCGCTTCCCGCACCTGTGGGACGGCGCGCCCAGCCCCGAGCGGGGCCTCTCGCCCGTCATCCCCATCCTGCCCAGCTCCACCAATCACGGTACAAGAATGTTTGTTTACACTGGAGGAGGAATCCGACGAGCTATGAAACTCTTTTTTCACAGATGTCCAGTAGGGGGCGGGTAAAGAATGTATAACAAGAACCCATTTACGTGACTTTACCGAAAGACCCAAGAACGTGAATTCCTGCAGTCACGAAAGCCAAGTCAAGATTTACCCTTTCTGGCAATGGAACAGGTGTCAAGATCTTCTTGGTTATTTCGGTAAAGTCACGTAGAATGTAAATAATAAAATAAAAAAATAAAACATAATAAAATAATTCTCACGACATTTCGGCCACAACGCAAGCAGCCGTCCTCAGGTGAAGACCAGGTCTGTTGGGGAGACAGCATCTGAATTCATTCGGACGCTATTATTTTATTATTTCCATTCTACGTGACTTTACCGAAAGAACCAAGAAGATGAATCCCTGCAGTCACGAAAGCTTTAAATCGAAAGGTGTCAAGATGTAAAAAAGAAACAGACAGAATCCTTATTCAAGGAATCATGTCTGCATTAACCACACGTACTTGTGGTGAACATGCAAACAAAAAGCATGCTCTGATAATATATGCATCGTCTTTGACACTGATTGATCCACACCAGAGACAGCTTTATTTTGAGCCAAAAGGCGAACAGCACAAAGACAAAGAGCGTTACAGACAACAAACAAAACAGAGACACGGTAGCGGTGCAACGTGTACAGGAAAGGCAAACAAAGCAGCCAAAAACATACGAATAAAACAAAATCGTCCTCATCCTACCCGGCAATGCCCACTAAGGTATTAACTTATTTTTCAGAAGTGCCACCACCGCCGTGACAAGTATGCCTAGCGTAAAAAATGCGTTTCGGTCAATACATCGTTATCCTACTCTTTGGTTTTTTATGTAAATTCACGTAGGAAATTTTTTATAAATAAATACAAATTAATTAAATCACGACGTTTCTGGCGCAATACAAGCGTCCTTCTTCAGGTGGGGACAACTTAGCGAAAGCACACAAGTGTGTCTCAGAGGTGGCTGTGACGAGTAATTATATTGTCATGGGGGGAGGGGGAGGGGGCATGGTGAGTGTGGGGGCGGGGTGTGGGCTGGGAAGGTAACGTTGTGTACCCCGAGCAACTGATTGGAGTTCAAACTGAGGCTTTGTAATGTAGATGGTGGAAGTAGATAAGCCGCCTTTTGTTATGTTGCCGGGTAAATTAATAAAGCAAAATCGTGATCCACGGCGTTTGTCACGAGACCTCCGTCGGAGTGCTGCGCTGACTCTGCGCCTGCGACGCTCTGGCTTTGACTCACTGCTCTGCCTGCTTGCGCCGTGTTCCCTGCTTAGTGGTGGCGCTGCTCGCCAGCCAGCTCGGTATCCCCGCGCGAGATCCCCTCTCCTCGAAGGAGCCGGGCAGGGTCGCGCCCATGTCCGGGGCTCCTTGGGACGTCCGCAACGACAGCTCCGTGTCCATCACGCTCACACTGTCCACTGCAGCCTCCGAGGTCAGCCCCGCCAACCCACTCGCTCGCCGGTCTCGCTCACTCGCAAGTTCACTCGCTCGCAGGCTGTTCATACTGATCGGTGGACAGAGGCGGGAGGGGAATTCGAGAAACTTGCCGATTGTTTTGACTGCAGCGTACGACGCATTAAGTCGCCGTGCTGCGTCCCCCTGTGCCCTGTTGACGTTGTTGTCGTCGCCGCCGCCCGTCGTCAGGACATCGCGGGAGTGGTGGCGGCCGTTGCGGGGCTCCTCCGGGTGAGGATGCCGAGCAGCTACGAGATCCGCGACTCGCCCGCTCTGCCACCCTTCCCCCTGCTCGAGAGGCTGCATGCGGCGCCGGACGCGCGTGCCGGCCGCGGCGGCGGTGGGATCCCCATTCACAGAGGGACGCGGGCACCAGCTCGCAGTGAGTAGCACGGGCAGCGTGCCTCACCACACGCATGGGTGTAGTTGTCTGTGTGTGCGTGTGTTTGTGTCGGGTGTCGGGGGAGCGGTAGCACAGCAGGTTAGTGCGCTGCGCTACGAACCTAGCGGCCCGGGATCGATTCCCGCTCACGGCTAAGACCAGTGACATCTGAACCATTGCTGGGCATCCCCTAGATCAACTCGGTCATGAATTGCTACATGGTGCGGTGTGTAAACATCGCCACTTGATAGACAAAGGCAGCATGGCGTGGTGCTGACCACCCACCCCCTCGTGTGTCGTGCCGGCCTTCATCCATGCTCGCTAACAGCACTTGCCCTAAAAGTCTGTTACAGCTATACGGGGGTCTTTGTCAGGTGTATTGCATATTCTTAGGTTTTTTCGGTAAAGTCACGTAGGTAAAAAATAATAAAATGAAAATAAATCAATTAAATCACGACGTTTCGGAGGCAACACAAGTCTCCGTATTCAGGTGGGACCGTCACAGCCAAATTTACTGTATCAAGTGAGGAGAAATCCAAGAGACAAGATCTTAAATACAAGTTCAGGGGAGGGGGGAGGGGCTTATCTAAATGTGGTAGTCAGGAATTGGAACGGTGGGGGGGCGGGGCTAGAAGGGAGGGTGCAATTGGAGAACCTAAACCAGGGTTACGGTCGATGTTGGCTGCTAAATCCAAAATAGCAGCACTGTTAAACGCTGTGGATGTCAACACTTGGTAAAATAGACTAGTACCTATCAAATAAGATGGTACAGGTGTATTGCAGTCTCAATCGGTTAACTTGCTGTCACACCTGCGTTGGTCCATAACTTCCTGCCAGCAAGTCTTCGACACGTTACATGGCCTCAAAGTGCATCTAGCCTGGCACAAGTGCTCTGGTGATGTCACCGTCACACGGTGGTGAATGGCGGCTGTTAATGTTATTGTATCGCACTTTTGTGTGTGTGATGTACCGCATTTGTGTGTGACGCATGTGTGCAGTGTACCCCCACACACAATGCGTGCATTGTACCACAGACTACAGACACATTTCCAGCATATACTAGTGCACTCCACACCACCCCCTCTGCTTTTAGACAATAAATCAATCACATATTAAACATTTTTAGAGGGTGGTGCAGTGGTGCCATACTGAATACACTGTCCTATGAACCCAGTGAACTGGGTTCGATACCCAGCCCAGCTAACATTGGTGGCGAGTGATATTAGCTGCAGTCCTAGGCCCACCGTTCACCAACCCATACTGACCAACACGACGAAGTATGGTTAAACAACCCCATCACCAACACTGCATGGGGACGCCTTCATCCAGCGGTGGATTTTACGTGGCTGTAAAAATATGTATTCAAGAAAAACCACGTGCACTCTTATCCTCTGCTCAGCTGCATCATTTGTCTCTGTGCAACACAGCCACACACGCACATACACCTCCCATTTACCTATGAACCGGCTGACCGTGTGTGTGCGCGTGCGTGCTTGCTTGCTTCGATGAGCAGCGTTGGTGAAGGAGGAAGCGGCGGTTGCCGGTTCCACCAGCGGCACCGCAGCGACACCGGGGCACGCAGGGGCCAAGCCGCAGTGGTGCCGCCACTGCGACGTGTCGGTGATGGACGCCGGCGTGCGCAAGCCGGCCAAGGAGCTCGCCGGGATGCGGCAGGTGCGATGAGTCGACGGGAGATGGGCCGTTATCGTTACATCGGTCTTTTAGACCGTTTGTTTGCCGCCAAAGTGGCGGGCGCAAGGAGCTGCTGCGTGAGAGGCGGTTTACGCAGCGTTGATCTTAACCTAACAACTACCCAGGTAGAGCAGAAACATTCCCGCTTGTCTAATCTTTTAAGTCGTGGAAACTTTTCACTGGCTTCTAAGCTGAACAACATAACCCTGACACTATCCCAAACAAGCTTTGCCATAGCCTTAACCATTCGAGAACTTGGCCTACTGATTCTTCGCAATCTAGCCCTGTTTCTCACCCAAACAATACGAATCCAATAACCCAAATAAATATATCAACCTATCCTTGACGCTCATAATTTATTCCGAAACTTAACTCTTACAATAATCTCAACCCTTAACCTTGCCCTATCCCAACCAACCGATGCCTTATCATACTGAGTTCTCACCATAATTCTAACAACTTGGTCATGACACTAATCGTAACAATTACATCATCATTACCCTAACCCCTGACAAACCCAGTCTTTTCCCTCATTGATCTTTGGAGGGAGCTGCCCCTCCGTGTAGTTGAATTGGCAGTCGAGGCTGCTCAAGGTGAGTGCTGTTGGGCTGAGTTTGCGTTGTCTGCCAGGGCGGTAAGTTGACGGCGACGGTTTGCAGAGACGCAGGGACTGAAGCGGTGTCTGCGAGCGTGGGGCTTTGTCCGTTGCGACGACAGCATCCCGGCACGTGGACAGAGTGTCTCAAATACGGCGCTCTCTCTCACTGTGTCTCTCACTGGCGGTGGGGCAGTCGCTCGCCGTGCCCCGACTCCATCGGCGTGCGTCCCCGTGTCCATTCGATTCCGCCCGTGTCATCGTGGCCCGCCCGCTATCGTCTCGCGCGTCCGCCGCCTTCCGTGTGCTTTTCGCCGCCGCGTGCTTGCGTCCTGTGCGCGCTTTATTTGTTTGTCGTGCCGCCTCCTCCTCCCCCCCCACACCCCCCAAGGTCAGGGTCAATGGTTTCGAGCTGCGCTTAAGAGACGCAGAGGATAGTTGGTGGAAGTCGTAGCCAGGAGCTGAGCGACAAGTGAGAAAGTTGTCTCTCACTGCCAGTCTACTACAGAACCCTCACTCGTCTCGTTAGTTTACTTGAGTGTCGCTCGGAGAGCACTGGCGAATTTCACTCCTCATCGGCTGTAGCTCCCACTGAAGGTGGGTAGGGCCCTTATACAGCCCAAAATACAGCCCAAAATACAGCCTCGAACAAAGCTACCAAAACAATGCCCAAGTCGACTCTAAAAACAGGCCACAAAATAGCCACTTAACACCCAGGTGCTGAAACTCATGTGTTGATAGGCAAGCTGTTTTCTTTATATTTTTGCATAAATCCAGCCAAAGTACAGTCGTGAAAAATGGCTGAAACTGGCTTTCCACCAACACATAAATCGATCCCCAGGTCGATTTATTCAAAACGGCCACCACCACTTAATGTGCCGCTTCCTACCATCTCAGACCTGATCCGTATCTCGTGCTTCCATCCTTCTTCTTAGTACCACTCTAATCTCAGTCCTGCTATGCAGTGCTGCCAATTATTAGTGCCGCTCCCCAGGGCTTCAGTGCTACTCGCAACCCAATATTGCCCACGAACATTCTCAGTACAACCCATGAACATCTCAAACAGCCCACCAGCTTCTCAATGCTGCCCATCAACATCACAGCACTACCCATCAACATCATAGCACTACCCATCACTATCTCTGTATTGCCGAGAAATGTTTCCATCCAGCCATGGAACACATCAGTGCTACCCATCGACGTCTTGGCGTTGTCCTACATCCCACTTCTCGGCACCACCATCATTTCAATGCCGCCCACCAGTGTATGCCCTTCGTGCTGCCCTCCCAACATTTCACTGCCGCCCTCCCCCCGCCAACAAACATTTCGCTGTCGCCTCCACTACCGCACCTCGGTAGTACCGCAGCCAACCCCGACATTCCATCACCGCCTTCCACCTCCCAGTGCCCGCCGCCCCCCTCAACCCCGCCCCACCCCCGGCGGCCGGACACGCGGGGCGTCCCGACACCGGGCGACACGTGCCCGTTGTGTGCCCCCCTTGTGTGCGCAGGACGGCGCCGCTGGCGATGGCTCAGAGAGCCAGGACTCGGACGAGGTGTTTTGCAGCAACGCTTGCCTCATGCAGTACACGGTGGCCTTGCAAGCCAAGGTAGGCCGGCAGCGCTTGGCCCCCCCCTCCCCCTGCCGAGACCCTGCCTGCCCGCCCGTCCACCCGCTTGCGCTCGTGGCTTATCGGCGATCGTAGGTGTTGCGGGGGGTTGGGGGGGTGGAAACGCCCGGTCATGCTCCGTGTCGCTTGTGCGCGCTTTTGTTGAACGCGACCGCGTGGTGCCGCGCGCCGCTGCGGCCGTTGTTGTTGTTGTTTGTCATGCGTGAGGATACGGACGTGCGTTCGCTCGCAGTGCACGAGTACTCTTCGCAGCACGTGTGTGTGTGTGTTGTACGGCGTGTATCGTGTTTTGTTTTCTCTGTTCCTCGACAGGCTCCGCAACCAGGAAGGCCTGTTGCTGTTATTTTGGTCTGAAATGAATGATAAGCGCTCTCATAGCTTTCGTAATTGACTTCATAATTTTAACTCTCATGCATGGATTATGAAAAGGAACGAAAATAGGTTTAATGTGATTTTAGGAGTCAAGGACCCCCCCCCCTTCATCCTCCCCAACCCCCCCCCCACCCCCCCATGCGTTGAATGTTTCGCATTGCGCCTCGGCATCTCGGCGCTCCTTGTGTGACGTGTCATCTCAACCGTGCCATGGTCCTACGGCAGTGCAGCCGAGATAGAATAGAACCCCGTCGCTCGCATGCTGCTGCTGTGGAGCGATATTGCCCCCCCCCCCTCCCCCGAACGTGTCTCGCACCGCACACCCTTTGCGCGACCCTTATCGGTGACACCCCCCCCCTCCCCCCACCGCGTGTCTGCGCCCGACAGCAGGGTGCCCTGCTGGGTGCGGAGCGCGCGCGGGGCCCGGGCGGCACCACGCACGCCACCCGCAACGTCCTCCTGCACCACTACAGCAGTGGCGCCACCTCCCTGTCGCCCAAAAAGCCGGTGCCCGGCATCGCCGGGGTCGGCCGCAACATGCCGGGCAGCGTCACCGACCGAGCCCCGTGCCAGCAGCGCCACCCGGCCCCTCCGCCGCCGCCTCCACCTCCTCCTCCGCCGTCGTCGTTGTCATCATCCGCATCCTGGGCCCCATCTACAGCTGCGGGGCCGACGGCGCCGGCTCAGGACAAGACAGCGCCGCCGCCGCCGCGGACCGACCCGGAAAAGCCGCCGCTCCGGACGCGGATCCGCATGACGCGGCCGACGCCGGCGTCGGCCGAGACCCCCCGCTCCCACGGCAAACGGTGCAAGGTGCTGCGTTGGCGCAAGTGGGAGGAGAGGCTGCTGACGCCGCGGCGCACCTTCAAGCCCGCCACGGACGAGGAGATGGACGAGCTGGTGCGCAAGCTGGGCACGTCGCTCAAGCCGGCGCCGGCGCCGCGGGATCGCCGCCGCTGCTGCCTGTGCCAGGAGACGGGTGACGGGCTGACGGACGGGCCGGCCCGGCTCCTGAACCTCGACCTGGACGTGTGGGTGCATCTGAACTGCGCGCTCTGGTCGTCGGAGGTGTACGAGACGCAGGCCGGCGCCCTCATCAACGTCGAGTCGGCGGCGAGGCGCGGCAACGCCACGCGCTGCGTGATGTGCCAGCGCAGTGGCGCCACGACCGGCTGCCACCGCATCCGCTGCGCCAACGTGTACCACTTCGCGTGCGCGCTGCGCGCCCGCTGCACATTCTTCCGCGACAAGACGGTGCTGTGCCCGGCTCACCGGCTGCGCGGCGCTGCCGCCGACGTGGAGCTGGCGTGCTTTGCCGTGTTCCGACGCGTGTTCGTGCAGCGCGACGAGGTGGCGCAGCTCGCGGGGCTGGTGCAGCGTGCCGAGCACGGACACACTTTCCGGTGAGCGCCGGCTTGAAGGGCCGGTGTAGGGAGCCGATCGGGGGCGGGGACAGGATAAGGAAGGCAGAGTGGGGGGGGGGGGGGGCAAGGGACGTTATTTGTATTTCTGTGGTCGTGGCTAAACTATTCAAATATTTTCATTTTGCCAGGGAAATCCCACTGAGCTATGTAGCTCTTTTCCAGAAGCGACTTGGCCAGAAATGATAGCTCAACAAAGTAGCCTATCACGTGGAAATGCATAGGACTTTCCGCCTAAATCCCAAGTCTTATCAACATCCCCTAAAATATTCACCGAGAAATTAAGCCCTGCCTAATCCAGCCCCGGGAGGCACCAACATTCCATTCCCTGGGGATACGAGTCATTCCCTGGTTGGAGAGGGGGCAGCATATGGACCTGATGCTCGGATCACGGCGTCCCGAATTAACGTCCAAATCGTAATTCATTTATTTTTTGCACATAAACGCCGCGACCCACCTGGCACGGATCATTCTTTCATGTCGTCCAAGCGCAGCGAGGATGAATGCGCAGAAGAGCTGAACAAGCGAATGCACTCCATGCTCGGGTATGGGCAGGATTATAAGTCTTATCCAAAGCTGCTCAAACTGCCTACACCACTTAAGTCCTTTATTTGTCATAGCGGTTTGCATAATACAGTGAAACTGCTCCCTTATCTTCATTATTATTTGTGACCTACTAATGTCTGCAGCCAGGATCAATCTATGACAATGCAATTACCTGCAGATAGTTAACAGATGAGATGCGTTGCACCGTTAATTCCTCCTGTTTGATAATACTTCTCTTGTCCGTATGCATTTGTACAGATAGGTTTTTTTTGCGGTTAAGCCATAGTCCCCACATACCGCTCGTATCAATACGGATAAGAGGAGCAGCAACCCACTACTCTGTAGAGTAACATTGGTATAAACTCTTGTTACAATATGAACAGCGCATTGAAAACGTGTACTATTTTATTTACTGTTCACAAAGTGTGTTCACAAATCCACACTGAGAAACGCGATGATTGACAGAGGGGTGTAAATAATTTTTTCGATAGTGTATTTATACAGAGGTACTGCAGGTAAGTAGTTTACAGTTTTAAAGGCATTGTTTAACAAGACAACACTTGCCACCATCCTTCAAACCGATTGGTGAAAAAAAGCCAAGGTTTGTTTACATTATAATATAATGTTTACGCGAAAGCCGGGGGCTTATGGGACCCCGGGGGTTCCCGCCATAAGGTTCATATGTTCACTCACAACCGGTCTCGTGCTCTGACCCATGAGCTACCCATCCACCTCGTGCCAACCCCTCGTCAAAACCTGTGCGTGCCACAACTAGATTTTATATTTTACAACACATTCCTGCGGAGGGAGCTGGTAGGAAACATTGGGTTGCTCGGTCAATGGCCAGGGTCAACGGCGGCGTGGTGTATTCCGCAAATATGGCCGACTGGGCGGGCACAAGCTGGCGTGAGTAGGTTAAACGTTGAGTTTTATAAGGGCACCACGGGGTGACCAGCCCCTCCCCACCCAGCCCCACCCCTCCCACGCCCCACCCAGCCCCACCCAGCCCCTTCCCACCCTCCCCTCCCCACCCAGCCCCTCCCCACCCTCCCCTCCCATTTTTGGATGCACGATGGACGGACACAATAATCCCCTGTGGGCTGGTGGAACCAGGTGGTTCCTACCAGTATTATGAACCACTGTAGATCGTATGTAACTGTATATATTTTTTCTCATTGTTTCAAAAAAATATCTATTTTTTACTCTACTTGTGAGTTTTAGAATGTGATGTCTCTTTGAGTGGCAGATTTGTGCCAGAATGCGGCCACGTATGTAAACTAAAAATGCACTTGACATCCTGCGTGCGGTTGCGGGTGCAGGGTTGGCAGCCTGATCCTGCGCTCCGTGGGGCAGCTGCTGCCCCAGCACGCGGCAGCCTTCCACAGCGCGTCGGCGATCTTCCCGTGCGGCTACGAGGCGACACGCCTCTACTGGAGCACGCGCTACACCAACAAGCGCTGCTACTACCACTGCCGCATCGGGGAGGCTGGCGGGCGGCCGCTCTTCTCGGTGCGCGTCGTCGAGCAGGGCCACGAAGAGATGCTGCTCTCCGACTCCTCGCCCAAAGGTGCGAGCAGCAAGAGAGCCAGGCCAGCCCGTCGCCCATAATGAGAGTGGAATTAACATTTCCTCTGAGTGTGTATTTACATGTACAGGCGGTGCCTGCCCCCGTCACACCCCCCCCCTTCCCCACCGCTTATACGACGTCGTAAATCGGGGGACCTAGTTTCCCCATAGATGGTAGAAACAGTAGAAATCTCACTTGCCGTCAACAAATCCTCGCAACTAAAATTATTGGACTTCCCCAAGAATGGGGTGTTTCTGCCATATTCAGGGTGTTGTGTGAAGCACGAAGAACGCTGTAGATTAATCCAATCAACTGGGGCTCTTGTCGTGCAGATTAATCAGCCACCTGCACACACCCATTTAATCGTTTGTAAATTAATCGGCTCGTCACAGCTCAAAACAACTGGGATAGGCATCACACCCGAGTGCCATGCCCTCTAATGTTATGAGCATAAGCCCCAGCTGTTGGAAATTATTACTCATTCTATCACAGGACTCACTCCGTGCTAGCGCTACAGCACAAATTGCTTTGTGTCATCTCTCCTACCCAGGACAGTAATTCTAAACCCTGGACCCCATTTTATCCACCAATTTTTTCCCGCCTCAGTACAATTGTGGGCTTGAAAAAAAAATCCTCCAAATTGTATTCCATGTGGGCTATCGATGTCACTTCACGAGATGAATAAGCCGTCTCGCCGATCCGTGCGTCTGAGAATGGTTTGACCGTTTGGCACGTGACGGTCAAACCAATATCTTAATTCTCAGTGCTCAAATTTATTGAAAGCAAAAGAATGTGTATGATATACTGGTTTTTTTTTTGCACGGTCATTGGTGACCAGGATGAGACCATCAAGATATGAACCCATTTTAATCACAAGCAGCTGAAGGCTCGATTTGAACCCAACTTCTCATCAGTGCCGGCTCGGCACTCTGACCTCCGATTCAATATTTTATGACGAATGACCATATGTGTCTTTGTGACCCCCGTGACCTCTAAACATCAAGCCATATGAACTCTCCACGTCACTCTTGACCCTGTTTCCCCATGTCTTCTGTGTAACCCCTAACCTGCATGGCACATTAACCCCCATGTCTGCTTGAGTCTATTCGTCTCCACCTTTGTGTTCCTCTGAGCCTCATGGCACTCTAGCGCACATCTGCCTTCCAACCCCAATGTGTCCTGAATGGTCGGGTATCTAACCCCAGTCTGCACCTTTAACTCTGTGTGCCCTCTGGCCCTGGTTCACCTCCCTAACGGAGTCTCGCGTCCCCCACCGCCCCACCCACGCTGTGCTGTGCAGGCGTGTGGCAGAAGATCCTGGAGCCGATCGCACGTCTGCGCAAGGATGCCGACATGCTGCAGCTCTTCCCCGACTACGTGCGCGGAGCCGACATGTTCGGGCTGTCGGTGCACGCAGTGCGGCGCATCCTCGAGTCGGTGCGTGTGTGTCTGTGCGTGCGAGTTTTCCAGCTCCTTGGGCGCGCATATGTGGATGGCTGCGGTGGTGTGCATGTGGAAACGCTGGCCTGGGGGCGGCCGTCCAGTGGCCCAGCGGGAGCGCGTACGGCGCTCGCTGCAGAGGTTCACAGTTCGGTCCCATCGGCCGCCCTGGTTAATACTGCGTCGTGTTTATTGAACAGAAAAAATACTCGCTGTTTGATTTACAGTGAACGTTAAACATCCCGTGACATCATTCACAAGAGTAGGCCATTATGTGCCCGCCTCAGGGTCCAAATAAAAAAATTCGTAGCAATCATTGTCCACTCCTGCAAAAACTTGGCAGGACCCTCCCGAAAAGAGTCATGGCTCCTTGAAGCTTTCTTGGGTCAACAAGCATCATAATAAATATCATAATTCTGCAGAAAGAAGTGGAGACAGAGGAGAAGGCAGTGCTCATAATTCTAGCTGGGTTATCTGATTATTGAAGAATTGAGTGCTGATTACCAGTCAACTCGACTCATTGGATAACACAGAAAAAGCCTCTGTTTCCTCATGTGCCGCTGGACAGAAAGTGATGGGCAGGGCTTGGTCACGTTATCGGCGTCATCAGCCGCGTCGTCATGCGGGACTGTTGCCTGCCGGGAGTTTCCCAACTTCGGGAGGCAGGCTATTGGGGCGGCTGCCATATTCTAAATTGCCCGAGTAATGAACGACAAAAGAGAAGTCTGTGTCAAGGTTTACGTGTGTGTGTGTGTCTATAGGGCCAGGCTAGTAGAGGTGATCTCAGTCTCATGTGGTCCGCGCGCATCTGTGTACGATTAATATTGATAATAATGAGTTATCTCCGCTGTCCGTTGCCGTGCATGATTCCCAGCTGCCCGGCTCGGAGTGCTGCCTGCGCTACGTGTTCCGCTACGGCCGCAACCCCGTGCTGGCGCTGCCAGTGGCCATCAACCTGTCGGGCTGCGCCCGCACGGAGCCTCGCCTGCGCGCCCACACCAAGAGGTACGGCAGACGCACGGCACGGCCGCCTTACTCTCAAGCCACGCAAACCCCCTTCCCCAGGGGGACGCTTTAATTGATCAAATAATCGATTGTTATTTCACGTGCCGATATTGCCCTCGATAAAAAATAAATCGACATCGGTGCACGTTTCGGTGGGACAGGAACGGTTACGGGGGGGGGGGGGGGTTCTGCTCTCCCGGGTTTGAGATTCATCTCCAGCAAGACCAGGTTTTAGACTCGCTATCTTGATGTTTGGTTTCAAGACTTAGGGACTGGAGACCCACGAGCCCATTGTTTTTTTAATTCGTCTGGATTGATGAACTTTTAGCCACGGGGGGAGTGGGGGGGACCCTTTGCCCTAGTAAACAAAAGCACTCAATAGGCCTCCCCAGGTATTCTCGATTAACCCAGCCACCAGATGGTGCCGTTTGCAGGAGATATTTTACGTGGAGTTGTGACAGAACGAGTAGCATTATTGCCCGGGCTGATACCGTTAACCCATTCCACCACTTGAGAACCTGGTCGGTTTAGTTACGAGTGGCTGCCCATGTTGGACTCCTGGAACTAGGGCCTCTTGTTGCTGCTGCCTCAGCGTCTCTGCAACAGCCCTCATGAGCCTCTCTCGTCCACCTACTCACCGCCAGAGTGTGTGCATCGTGTGTACTGTTCACTGTGGCGAGCGGTGGCAAAAAGCGATCATCGCACTGTGCTACAAACCATGCGACCCGAGTTAAACTCCCGGTCACGTCTGCTTGAACCGATCCTGAGCCCTCCCTAGCTCAACTCGGCATTAAATGAGTACCTGGTGCGATGTGTAAACATCAATGTTGTATAGACAGAGACGGCTGGGTGTGGTGCTGATCCCACCTTTACTTAATGCGCCATGCCAATCTTGATAAATGCTCGCTTACAGCGCTTTGAAACAAGAGTCGGATAAAGGATACACGGGAGGGATCTATGTTTTACTGTGTGGGGAGTGGTGTCATAATGGTAAGCGCACCGGGTTCTTTGCCGTGCAACCTGAGTTTCATTTGCGACCACTGCAGACACGGCAACAGCAGAGCTGCAGAGGGAACGTTCGTCTCTGGTGTTCACTGCAGGCCCCACACGCTCACCAGCAACAGCTCGTCCAAGTCGTTCCAGAGCACTGTGACGGGAGACCTGACAGCGCCCTACAGCAAGCAGTTCGTCCACTCGAAGAGCTCGCAGTACCGTCGCCTGCGCTCAGACTGGAAGACCAACGTGTACCTGGCGCGCTCCAACATCCAGGTACATGCTTCCGTGTCTGTCTGCCTGTCTGTGTGTGTGTGGATATGTAATGTGGGGAGCGGTCGTGTTGTGGTTAGCACTCCGCGCTACGAAGCCGGTGACCTGTATTCGATTCCCGCTAGCGGCCAGCACCATTGACAATTTTCCAAACCGGCCCTGGGCCTCTCGTAGGTCGACTGCCTCACATGAGTACCTGGTGCGGTGAGTAAACATCACCACTGGCAAGACAAGGGCTGCCGGGCATGGTGCTGGTCATCCACCTCCTCGTGCGTTGTGCGGGCCTTCATAGGTGCTCGCTAACAGCACTTGCCCCGGCAGTATGTTAAAACCATATGGGGGCATCTTTGTATGTGTTAGTGTATGCATGTGTAGTGTGACCATCTCCACCCCCCCCCCCCCTCGTATATCAGCGTGACCTTCATAATCTTGACAGCACTTAGTGTACGAGGCTAAATGGGGGGTGTGTATGTGAGCGTGTGCGTGGGAACATTGGGTATATTTGTATATTGGGGGCAATGGGATAATGGTCAGCACACATCACTGTGAACTGAACGACCTGATTTCGATTCATGGCGAGTGTTATATTAACCCAGTCCCTGAGCCCTTTAGTGAGTAACCTGGTGCGGTGTGTAAACATCAGCACCAGCGAGGTGAAAGAGACTGGTCATCATGCCGGCTTTCTTAATGGGTGCTTGCTAATAGCACACACGCGCCACCAGTCTGTTTTTGGATACATATTTGTCTTTTGAGTACATTTGTGGCTGCTTTTGCATGTGTGTGCGTGCACAGAGTATCAACTTGTGTGTCTGTGTGACAGAATGATTTGCGCACTGTGCTACAATGCTGGCGACCCGAGTTCGGTTCCCGGGCGCAGTTAAAATTTCGCAAAAATGCTGTCTGTGTACAGCTTCAGCTAAAAATGAGTAACCTGGTGTCACGTGTGGACATCAGCAATGGGACGTATGTGGTGCTGGCCACACCATCCCATCATCGTGTGCCGTGCCAGCCTGAATGTGTGCCGTGTACTCGCTCGCCAACAGATCGGTCTCTAAAGACCGTACGGGACTCTCGGCCTGTTCCTACTGTACCATGAGGAGTCTAAAAATAATCCTCCCGAGCCAACTTGCGCCACAGGGATTTATTATTTAACATTGATTGATGTTGGTGCATTATTTTCGATTCTTCTTGTGACATAGCTCTTCTCTGATCTATATTTCCTACATTGCTCGACTTCGTTTTTTGTTTTGTAATTTTTGGGTGACCCAGATCCACTCACTCATGCAAAAGAGACTCTATCCTGGTCTCGTGAGTTCTCACCCAGTTAGACAAATACATTTAACTTGCTTATAGGTGTGCAAGTGGCTTAGACAATGGATACATTTTCCTGCTTATGTGTATGATTACTATATAATTCCTGTTCCTTTGTCACTACTGTGTGCACATTTAGTGCCAATGAAGATGCTCCTGGTTGAATGTTGATGATATTGATATGGAGCAGCAGTGTAGTGGTTAGCACACTGCTTTGAACCCGGAGACCCGAGTTCAATTTCCGGTCAGAATCAATATCGGTGACGAATATTTGAATCGGTCCTGAGCCTCCCCTAGGTCGACTTAGCCTTAAATGAGTATCTAGAGCGGTGTGTGTATAACCATCGGCACTGGGGAGACAAAAACACAGCTTTGGCATGATGCTTGGCCACCTGTCCCCTCGTGTGCCGTTCCGCCCTTCATAGGTGCTTGCTAACAGCACTTGTCCCAATGTAATGCAATGCAAATAGACGTTTACGAAACACAATCATGCAATACCATCTGTAATGTGCATTGCTGTTTGGTCCCATTGTTCATTAAATACATTTTGAAGGTCAACAATCTTGCCCAGACTTTACGGGGGACCTTTGTCTTTGTGCGGTGCGTCACTCAGGGCCTGGGTCTGTACGCGGCACGGGACATTGAGAAGCACACGATGGTGATCGAGTACATCGGCACCATCATCCGTAACGAGGTGGCCAACCGGAGGGAGGCACTCTACAAGGCACAGGTAACACCGTCATCACCATCGTCACCATCGTCACCATCGTCACCTGCATCTTCATTACCTTCATTACTGGCCGCCATCATCACTGTCATCCATGATGAGGTGGCCAACCGACGGAGAGATCCTGAACCTTCATCATCATTCCCATAATTACCACCTCCGTCTTCTTTAACTTCACCTGGGTAATAACAATCATTGTCAACTCCATCGATAGCTCCATTATCATTACGCTTTTTTATTGCGTGTTAAACGTGCGAACAATTGTTAATTAAACACGATAGCCGCTCTCTATTACAATGTTAAGGTGGTGGGGCAGTGTCTCCTTGATTGATTTGAGCATCCGGAGGAGAACTGAGTTCGGTTGCCGGCCACGGCTAACATCCGTGGCGAGCGAGGAGTGATTTCTGAACCTGTCCTGATGCCAGTCGCCCACTGCCCTTCACCAAACCCCCCCCACACCCGCATGACTGACACAGCATAGAAAGGCCTTTGCCCAACAGCGGACTGGCAAAGCCTGTATGGTAATGTAACATTGAGATGCGTCGATCTTTCTACAGAACCGAGGTGTTTATATGTTCCGGATCGATGGGGATCACGTCATTGACGCTACACTTACTGGTGGACCGGCCAGGTAAGAAGACGTTCATCGCCGTACCATCAGATCGTGACCTTAGCCTGAAGGAATATGCAAGCCGAAACACAAACACTTCTCTTATTTCTATGCACGTGTGGGGAGGATCTCATGTGGTAGTGGATCGGTAATACATACACAAGTCATATGGCTTTTTGGATATGGTATCTCCAGCATCATCTGGTTATTAATAATGTGTGTACACATGCAGTCGCATATCGCTGGGCCGTGAGATATGGTGACAGATTTGGGAGACTTTCATCCGGCATTGGATTGATCCTACCTGATTATGAAGTAGATGGCATGCTTTCAATGTCTCGAGGTGTACGTGTGTAACATTGTGTACATGTGCGTAAAAATGAACCAGAAGCGGTAATTTTAAAGAATCCAGGGAAACATCAGCGGCAGCTGAAACCTGGATTCGAACCCAGGATCTCGGCGGGTGCCAGCTCAGTACTCTGACCTCTCTGACAAACATTGTACTATTTAACGCAGGCCTTCCGACGGCGGTCCACCTCATACTGAATACAAACCAACGAAGAGAGGTCTCGTCGTCAAATCGCATTAAACGTCGCCGTTACGTATTCGCCGATTTAATTCCAAATGATTCCTCGCGACTCATCGATCACGAATGTCTGCCGTGTACGGTGATCGCGACGGGCAAACGATGACGATGATGACGGCGAGCGTGTTGTTGCGTCCGGCGCGCGCAGGTACATCAACCACTCGTGCTCGCCCAACTGCGTGGCCGAGGTGGTGAACTTCGACAAGGAGCGCAGCAAGATCATTATCATCTCGAGCCGCCGACTGCAGAAGGGCGAGGAGGTAACGGGCCTCGCACCTCGTGCACGTCGCCTGCATTCACATCGCTAGATTCAAATCGCCGGATTCTAGATCCCCTCGGTGTCGATTACACGCCTACCTCCCAAAGAACAAAACCAACTTCGCGCATCTGACCAATCGCGGCCGTCGAGGATTCGAGCGATCGGCAATCTCGCTCCAACCCTACAGGCACCCTCCTCCCTCCATCCATCCCTGCACCACGTTACCACGGCGGTTTTTTGTTTGTTATCGCGATGACAAAAGTTGGCAGAATCCGCGAGGCTATCCATAGCTTGGCGTGTCTATAACGGTGCGTCCCGAACTGTGCAGATAACCGCTGTGCGCTGGGTACGAGACTATTTGTTTTTGCCCGCCCGCGCGCATGCAGTATTAACTGTTGTTACCTTGGGGCGGCGGGGGGTAGAGGGTTGCTGTGGTGAGACTGGCCTCCGTTGGCAGGCATCCCCCATCTGTGATGTTCTGTCAATACTGGAGAACTCGTGAGATAAGAATCTGATATTGGGCCTTGAGTGATGTCATTCGACAATCAGCAGGCTGCACTGCATGCTGCTCTTCAGAGTCAATTCACTTGTGGGTGGCTATGAACAAAGATCAGGAAGTCTTCCACTCTGAGCCTCAGTGTTACAGGACTGTTGTGGTACTCTTTGGTTCTTTCGGTAAAGTCACGTAGGTAGAAAAATAATAATAGATCACGAAGTTTCGATCGTCGTGTGGCGATCGAAACCTTGTGATCTATTAATTTGTTTCTACCTACTTTTTTACCGAAAGAACCAAAGAGTGGATTCCTGCAGTCACGAAAGCTTCAAATCCAGATTGACTGTTGTGGTTTTAGTGATGAAATCCAAGAGTCTTTTGATATCTCTGGATTAATGTTCCGGAGGATCGTACTTAGGATGTTTTATCAATCCCTGTATGACAGTTTAGAGTGGCCAGAGAAAACCCTTGCATGCGAGTGGATAACACCTAAACTAAAAGCAGATCGGCCAGCAACCTACTTTCTACACTGCGTCCTCTCGGCACCCTCACTGGCACCGCCAATGGCAGAGTCACACTTGATGTTTCACCAGCTCCGCTTCCAGGTTACTGGGCTACAGCTGTACTCCACCAAATCAAGTGAAGGGATAGTACCAGAGGGACTGACCAAATAATCCAGAATGCACCCAGATCTTGGTAACTAAGCAGGCTTGAGCCTGGACAGCGCTTGAACTGCCGTGCATGGCAACTGTTGCGTGGTCACGTCAACAGGAGGCAGTGCAGCATAAAATCTATTGTTGAGCTATAACCTTTCTCCAATGTCTGTACTCTCTGCCTTCGCCGACTTGCATTGACCAGCATGATGAAGAGTGGTCAAATAGCCACCACGACCCCGCCCGGTGCGTGGAGAGAGGCTCCCGTTAACCGTGGATTGACAAAAGCGCCATACCGTGCGCACAACATGACAGCAGATGTATTCATTATTAATTTCTACAACTTACTTTCATCCTCTGCCACTCCTGCCCCTTGTCTTTTCCCGCATCCGTCTCTTCTGCCTTCCACTCCACGAGCCTACTCGCACACCACGTTCAACCACGCAAACCCGCACACCACGTTCCCCCGCACACCACGCTCACCAACAATTCCCGTCTCCCATCGCCCCCCCCCACCCCTCTTTGACCCTCAGTTGACCTACGACTACAAGTTCGACTTCGAGGACGACCAGCACAAGATCCCGTGCCACTGCGGGGCACCCAACTGCCGCAAGTGGATGAACTGAACGGAGCGAGCAAAGTGGGGGGCGCGTTCAGCCCCCCGCCGGCAAATCACGACGCGAGTCTCGCAACGTCAAGAGAACCGCAGCGGCCCCGGTCCTCTCGCTGGGCCCAGGTGTACGGCGCCGTCCTGCGGGCCGCGAGGGGCGGGCGAGGAGCACGAGGAGGAGGAAGAGTCGGTGGGCCACGTCGCGTGAGATAAATCGTGAACGGAGCTCCATGTGTAAAATACAAACAAACGGAAACAATCGTTTCGACGGGATGCGGGCAGATGCAGTGGTGCGAGCGTCAAGCTAACGGTGGCATGAGAGGTGCAAGGAATCGGACTGGGCATGAGCGGGCACGCGGCACGCACGCCCGGAGAGCAGAGGGCACGGTGCCAACGCGCGACCCCATCCACTTGAACGCACCCCCCCCCGCCGCCCCCTGCCAACGAGCCCCTCCGCTCTCCGCTCCCGCGCGCCGGGGCCTGACTCGAACCCGCATGGTTTACAAACCTCCTCCCCCTTATTCAAATCGTGTCGCTAAAAAGGGTTAGAAATAGCTTTGTACCGCTTGGTTTAAGTATTGTTTCATTTTTTGTTTTGTTCCTAACGTGTATCGCGTTGTGTTGTCATTTTTTTTTCACACGTCGGTAACGTATTTGTTTTTTTTATACCGATTTTTAAAGCTCCTCCGCACGGTTAAACAAAAAAATATTTACAAAATAAAAAAACGAACATTGAAATACGTTGTTTAGGGTACACTTTGTCTGTAATAATAACAACAATAATGATGTTGACGATGATCATTTTTCTCGCGTTTGTTGTGTCTCTACGCCGCCAAAACGCACCGGTAAATGTACATACGATGGACCAAACAGCTGTGCATTTTTTTGAGCAAAAAAAAAGGGGAGATATGGGGCGCGCGTGAACAGAAACAAAAATCTTAGAAAAACGAAATCTGCCAGTCTGCACTTGTGGGTGTGCCCAGAGACTCGAGATCGAGGCGTCAACGCTGGGGGTGGACCCATCGAGCACCCTGGAGGGAATGATTTTAAAACAAACGAAACGGCCAATGCTGCTTTGCACTTCAGAGTAAACTCTTTTTTCCGTTTATTTTAGTATGTTTGTTGTTATCTTTTGCTACTGTTATAGTACGAAACGTTAAACACAATGACGATTGATGATGATGATGGTGGTTGATACTACCCGCTGAATTTTTTTATTATCCGTTTTCAAAGGTTAGATTAATCAAGGGGTAGAATGTCAAGTGCAGGATGATGTTTTTTCATAAAATCAAGATGTGTAAAAAAAAAAGGTTGTTTGTGACTTTGCAGAAGCGTCTTGAAGTCGACTCAGACCAAAATCTTCTTAATATTAATAACGATGCAGATAATAATAAATAAAAATGGATACATAGTGCGTGGGCGTTATTTTTAGAGACTTAAAATATAAAAAAAGCAAAAAATAACAAAAAAAATGAAAAATATAAAAAATGTTTGTTTAACAAAAAAAAATTCTATTACAAAAAACAAATCCTCGGGAGTTGACAAACGAACGGACGCGATGATGACGATGGTGTATTGTGTGCCGGGCATATGGCACCGCAGGTATTGTTATTGAGACTGTGAAGACAGTGGGCGCAAGATTCTACGTTTGCAGGACCAGTCGTGCAGATGTGTGAGCGGTCGCGGTCGAAACCGTCGTGTGCGTGGGCCGCCCTCTCCCCACTCGCGATGTCGCCTGGTGTCCACGTTGCGCCTTCTCCTGTTCTAACTCATCCTGATATCGGAGGAGAGGGGGGGGGGTGCGCGTAACTCATCAAAGCTTTATTTACCCACTTGTAATAACACGTTATCATCGTTTACAGCTGCCAAGTTACCACTTTTTTCGTCTTTATTTCGGTTCCCCCCCCCCCGCCCGCTCTGTTTATTATTATTATTAATACCAAGTGTATAATTCGTTCGGCTTTATTGTTATGCGTAGTGGGCATAACTTTCTCTGACTTGCGTTAACATTTCAAACCCGCGTTGGGGGGGGGGGGGGCTTGCATTCGTCAAGATGGGTGGGTGGGTGGTTTGCGTGGTGAGTTCATTGGGATGGGGGGGGGGTGCGTAGGTTGATGCTGTATGTGGCAACGCAAGGGGCATTGCTGATGGGGATTTGCTCCTCGGTGGGATGTATAATGGCATGCATTCTGTTGTTTTTATTCTTATACCAGCTCTAAAACCACCCTCCCACCCTGTAACCCCACTTGTCGCCGCCCGTGGTCTCCCTCTCGACCACCGGGAAGGTGTTGTACATAGTCACTAGCGTTTGTGAGCGAGTGTCGACCGCCGCCTCTTCCCTTCCTCGCTGGCCCCACTGCCACCATCGCCGTGTGTGTGTACCGATTGTACAGTGACGCGAGAAATCGCCATCGGCCCAGCACCACCACCACCACCCCTTCTTCTTTATCGACATCCATCCACTTAACGAGCGGTGGGTGGGATGGGGTGGGGGGGGCACAATAGCCAGCCAGAAAAAAAATAAAAACGATTATTTGAAGATGGTTTAAAATATATTTACAGATAATAAACATTTATGGATACAATAAACGCCCGGGCGTCGCGTGCTTCTTCAGTGTGTTTTTGTGTCAGACCGTGAACATTTCAGAGTGTCCTGGAGACGCGACGGATTGTGGGGGGGGGGGGAGATTCTTCAGCGCGTTTGCGTTGAATGCAGTGGGCAGAGAGACGTGTTCGTTGAGCACAAATCGTCCACATTGCCGACTTGGCCATTATTCTCGTTTAAAATTGTGAGAAAATCCCGTCTAATCGTGCCTCGTGCGTGAATTTAGCTGTACATGATTATAATTATTTTTATTCTAATAATATTTTAATCATATTTTATTATTTCCCTTCTCCGTGACTTTACCGAAAGAACCAAGAATATGAATCCCTGCAGTCACGAAAGCTTTAAATCAAAATATAATTATTTTTGTTACTTTGGGTTGAACGCTTCTCCCGGCGCTGCGTCGCTTCGAGGGGGTTCGACCATACTTCACCACTTTGGTGAATGTGGTTGGGGGGGTGTCCGTGACTTGTCAGCCTTGGCGGGGCATCGATTGTCAGCCATGGCCAGGTTCATAGTTGCAGTGAGTGCACTTTACCACTCACTGTACCATATAAATTGCCTAAATTATAAATAATATATTCTACTAAGTCGGCACGTAGCGATTAATTGATTTATGCATTTCAAATCAATTCTTACAATACAGGCGTCACATCGTGCGTGCAATAATTTATGCTTAACGGTGTACAAAAATTACACGCCCATTTAGAAATTAACCTCGCGGGAATGGCGTGCCAATGATTCACAATGCAATCAAGGCGGCAACGTGAGACGATCATCAATTTATGAATGGATTCGTGTCGCCGTTTCGAGCGCAGCGCGCTAACCACTGCGCCACCAGTCAATGGGATTTCCTGCGCGTGTGTACGTTGAACTTCTTTCGCACCGCACGTAACCCACCGTGCTCATTGGATGTGCGTGAGTATGAGCTTTTTGAAGGACGCTCATCTGTTTTATAGCTCGTGCTGGTGATTCCACATTCCTATGGCGAGTATCAAGAGGACAACCACTTCCACCCCCACCATGACCTCATTGCAGTATGTCCCTATTGAAGTGATCAAAGAAAAGGACGCGCGCGTCTTCGTGAGTGTCCGATGCGCCGATGTCAATACCTTCAATCAGAGATTCTCGGCACTGCCGAGATCCTGAATTCGATAGCCCTGGGGCTTGCTTGTTTGTCTTCACAGTCCCTATCGTCTCTATTGGCAGCCCCGAAGTCCCTGGAACAGATGTCTTCTTATTCCCGTGGTGCTGGTGCTGGGGGCCATCACCTCTGGGGAAATAAAATGGGAACAGAAGCCGAGAAGTGCGCAAAAAAACGTGGAGGAAATGCGTGCTCTCTGGATTATGCTTGGAGTTGATATTGGTGGCATTGAGGGGCTGAGAACCGAGACAAAATCTTGACAGCCATTTGTGGCTAAATCCGTAGGGAGCTTGGTGTCGTCACATTCAACCGCGAAGTGACCAGGAGACGGCAGTGGAACAATTGATTGAATCCATCTGTGTGGAGCTGGTCAATGTTGCCCTCTGGTGTTGCGTGGGTTTTGGCAATTGCCTCCCACATGAAGCCAAACACTCGAGTAGAATTGGAATTGCACACAAACCCGATCTATAAACCAACATGAAATATTTGTCTTCTGTCTCGGCGAAGTTGTTCCTCGGTAAATGAAAACCACGCTTGCTATGGGACGGAAGCAGTGGCAGCAACAACATTAATCAGCTATGGCTGAAACATCAGCGGCACCTCTGATTCGCGCGGTTGGCTACGTACGGTGCGACAGAAATCCACCTTGATGCACTGACCAGTGTGGTGAAGTATGGTAAAGAAACCCCCATGACCACACATTGCGGGGAGGCCGACATCACGTGTCGTACTGTATTGACAAAGCGCTGCGCATTATCATATCCCAGTCATTGTACAAGGTCACTCGTGGCCGAGCCGTGAGAGATGATTTTTTTATCTTTACACACACGGTGCTTCAAAACAATGTTAACACTTACATGGGACTATCGTTTTTAATGGAAGAAGAACGTGTAATACACTGTAACATGATAACAAATATTATGTTTCTTCACCTGAGGACGGCTGCTTGCGTTGTGGCCGAAACGTCGTGAGAATTATTTTATTATGTTTTATTTTTATTATTTTATTATTTCCATTCTACGTGACTTTACCGAAAGAACCAAGAAGATGAATCTCTGCAGTCACGACAACTTTAAATCGAAAATTAAATCGAAATTGAAATGTTATGTTAATAGCTTCAAAAAGTCAGTCTCTGCTTGTTCGCCATCGTTGTCAACACGTGCCTGGAATCTTCTCCAGGTGGTCTCCAGAGCCCGGAGGAACAGTTCTCGTGGTATTGTTGCAAATTCTCCGAAGTGTAAAAAAAAAAATAAGCACCCTGTATATATATTATCCAGGTGATATATGGCGAACCACTTTTGTTGTTGTTACAATTCAGGAGTGTCAGTCGTGTTCGGCAAGCGACTCGCGTTGAATGTTGTTGTCGCGAGCTCTCACTCGCCTGAGACCGCGATGAGATCCCTGGCGCGACGCGAGGCTTCTCTGCCGGCCACGGAGTCTCTCTCTCGAGGTGGTGGTGGTGGCTTCGCTTCACCGCAGTGTCTGTCCGTCACGGTCTGGTTCTCTCTCCCAAGCGGCAGGCGGGAGGCGCGCGCGCGAAACCAAAGGAGTCTTCTCGTGCCGAGGACATTCGCGGGGAATTGCGGCCTCTTCGCGTGTGACGACGTGTTGACAGTGGGGACAGCAGCAGAGCAGAAGGAGCGATCTCCAACCGAACGGAGATTTTACAAGAAACTTTGGTTGCCGGAGCAAAGGATGCGTGGCGAGGAGTTGGGTGAGATGAGAGGGGAGAGGTAGGAGAGTGTGTGGAGGGGAGTGAGATGAGAGGGGAGAGGTAGGAGAGTGTGTGGAGGGGAGTGAGATGAGAGGGGAGAGGTAGGAGAGTTTGTGGAGGGGAGTGAGATGAGAGGGGAGAGGTAGGAGAGTGTGTGGAGGGGAGTGAGATGAGAGGGGAGAGGTAGGAGAGTTTGTGGAGGGGAGTGAGATGAGAGGGGAGAGGTAGGAGAGTGTGTGGAGGGGAGTGAGATGAGATGAGAGGGGAGAGGTATGAGAGAGTGTGGAGGAGAGTAGAGTGAGATGAGAGGAGAGAGGTAGGAAAGTACGTGGAGGCGAGTGGAGTGAGAGGGGAGAGGTAGGCGAGTGTGTGGAGGGGAGTGAGATGGGAGGGGAGAGGCAGGTGAGTGCGTGGAGGCAAGTGGAGTGAGATGAGAGGGGAGAGGTAGGAGACGGCTTGGAGGGGAGTAGAGCGAGGTGAAAGGGGAGAGAGCGGCAGGCGTGAGTCAATTGAAGATCTTGAAGACCGTGAGTGCGATTTTCAAATGGGTCCTGGATTGGGTCGGGAGCCAATGAAGACATCGGGGAACGGATGCAGCGTGCGGAGTCTGGCAGCGCCGCCGCCTGCAGAGTGAGCGGTCCCTGCCATGGTAATGTGGAATGTGCACCACTGACGTGAGCCCACCAGCGGACACGAGCCCCGCCCCCTGTCCCCCATGGTCAATCGAGCAACGAAGAACTGTGCAGTGTGCGAGCGTCGTTAGTGACGACCAGCGGTCATGCACTGTGGTCATGTATATGTCATGCATGTGGTCATGTATGTGGTCATACATGTGGTCATGTATAGGTCATGCACGTGGTTATGTATAGGTCATGCATGTCGTCATGCATGTGGTCATGTATAGGTCATGCACGTGGTCATGCATGTGGTCATGTATGTGGTCATGTATAGGTCATGCATGTGGTCATACATGTGGTCATGTATAGGTCATGCACGTGGTCATGCATGTGGTCATGTATAGGTCATGCATGTGGTCATGTATAGGTCATGCATGTGGTCATGTATAGGTCATGCATGTGGTCATACACGTGGTCATGTTGTTGTATATGTTGGTTATCAAAATTTGTTATGTTGTATGCGTGCGTGGGTGAAATTATTATGTTGTATATGTGGGTTATGAATATTCAGTGAAAATAATAATAATTAAATGAAATTTGGCCAAATGTGTAATTATCCGGAAATATGTTAATTTATGTAATTATGCACATTTTAATTATGCCAATTCGAGAGGTAATCGTATTAATTATGCGAGTGGGTGTAATTATGATAATGCAAGTCGTTATGATAACCAGACCCCGCCTCGGTGATGAGGGTGGGTTATCGATCGGAATAAGGCAATTAATCGTATGCAGTTATGCAGGTATGCAGGTGTGGTGTAAGTATGCAAGATTAACTTAGATTAACTCGGCATCGTTGTCTAGGTTCGTCTCATTCTCGCTTTAACATTCCCAGAGTGTGTATTCGTGGTTATATTTTAGGTCCCCGGTTCACCCCGTTATCGCTTTAACATTTACTGAGTATGTATTAGTGTGTTTATTAAGGTCACCAAGTTCAGATCTCAACGCAGAAGCAGATCTTATGCATAGATTTCAGGAAAGAATCACACAACCACTTCTGTATTGATCAATTTATTACTAATTCAACCTTAACTATGATATAGTATGCGAACTCTCAATCCCGGAACGTCAACACGGCATCAATACAGTATCATCAACGATTGTCTGATTTCACTTTGACAACGGCACATGGATCCCGCATAACGCGATGGTTGTTAGTGAGAGAGAGGGTCGTTAAAATATGCAAATACTATGCTAAGAAAACCTTAACGTTAATGAATGATCATACTCAACATTGTTCACGCAGTACCGCACTCCTTATTGATCATACGCAACCCTTATCACGTTGTTAGCACCTTGGGTCACGGGACAGTTGAATATTCTGTAGAGGATGCGAGTACGTGCGGCGATTATGACTGAAAGATACTTGAAAGATTATACGGCGATAAAAAAAACACAATCAAAAACAGTTATTATTCTTAAAGGCAC